GTACGACTGTGATGGTGTCATCCTAACACATACCGTTCCCCCACAGCAGACCGTCACTGCGCAGTATTACTGCTAATTTTTGGAGCACAATCTCCGACCAGCTTTGAGAAAAAAACGGCGACACTTTCTGCAGAACGCCCCTCTCATTTTTGCATGACAATGCTCGGCCGCATGCAGTGCAAGCTGTGACTGATTTGTTCAAGCGATGGGGCTGGGAAGTGCTTTACCATCCACCTACTCCCCAGATCTAAGCCCTTGTGACTATGACTTAATTCCTAAGATGAAGGAACCACTTCGTGGCACTCGCTTCCAAACTGTTCCTGAGATTCTTGCGGCAGTAGACCGGTCCATTCAAACTATCAACAAAACAGGCACTGCTACAGGTATTCTGCGACTTCCACATCGTTGGAAACGGGTTGTACACAATGCTGGCGACTATATTAAGTAAACATGGTGACATGAATCACTTTTGTATTCCTTGTAAATAAATAGTTGCCACTATTAAAATTCCAACCCTCGTACTTCCTAACCAACAATAAATGCAAAAAATAAGCCCTGAGAAATCAAAATAAGTGCCATCACACATTACAATCAATCACGTCATAATAGGGTTTCCAAAATATACACAGTAAAATACGCAGGCTACCATAAATGAAACAACAAGTTGGCAATAATCCAAGGAGTACCCCCAAATATAGACTACCCAATATTTTTTGTATATTTACTTTTAGAGTTTTTTTTTTTTTTTTTTTTCCATACAAGATAGTTCCAAAAGTGGCAGAAAAGCCACTAGCAAATTTATGCAATTGTGCGAGTAAAAGACTCATATAAAATTCGAGCAATGATGAGTTTAAATATTTTTCTTTAAAATGCTACTGTGTGAATCAGTCATTTTCATTTGCAGTTCTGGGGCAAGGATTTCTACATTGGTGTTAAAAAGATATTGTTAAATCTTTGTCATTTTCTAGACCTTTTCTATAATATGCTCTATCTTTGCTGCTCACAACCAGCTGTCATGTTTACTTCAACTTACAAAACATAATTCATGGTTTTGCATAATTGTGCTACTCCCCACAAGATTGCAGTGTTATACTGCATTGCAAAATGTCATCTCTGATGCTTGACTGCAAGTATCAAATGAAACTTCAGACAGAGCATAGTCCAACCCCCTGCCATAGATACTTCACTCGCCCGCTATTTCCAAACTGAAAATTTGTACATAATTCAAAACTACAGAATGTTGGTCTGATGATCTATCTCGAACTTGGCCCTTGGAACTGAGTGCAGCATGACCATTAGGCTAAAACAAGTAAGCATGTAAGCATGACCTTTAGGCTAAAACATTTGGAGATTCCTGCTTTAACTAATCAATTATTGAACATTTATGAAAAAAAAATCTCTGTTTAAATAAAGCACTTAGGTTAAGAAAAAACTTCAGTACAGCCTCTTTTACTAATTATCATTAACAATAGCTGAAAAGTATAACATTTTAATTAAAAAAAATTTGTGAACATCAGCCCTTTTTATCTTCCATTTCCATTATTGCTATGATACAGAATGTTCCTGCAAGAATGCCTAAGCTCTGTACAGGCAGATACCTTGCTTGGGATAAATAAGAACTGTATCTGTACAACCCATAGTTTTTTTTAGATAAATGCAAAAGAAAAGTATGGCATCATATCCGGTGCAAGAAAAAAAAAATTCAAAATATGAATGTTGGTATTTTCATATGTTTACATAGGAAGATTTTCAAAATGTCCATCGTGCATAATTACTACAAACTATTTCCCATATAATAACCATTTTATATAACAGTTTTAAGTATAATTGATAAACTAATACCAAGATATTTTTTGAAAATTTTGGAGGTTATGAAAGGATACTTAAGCATTAGTGCAACACCTTGGTACAGTTTAGCAATGTTTTGCTGAAAAAAAAAAAAAAAAAAAAAAAAAAAGAATCATGCTATATAATTGCACAAAATTATTTATTCCATCCTTCACAATTTTAGGTGAGCATTTAGCCTGAAAATCAGTTAATTATACTCAGAGGCAGGTTTTTGCATCTTCTTGCTGCCAGTGGAAGTTTCATGTTGATAAAGCTCTTTAACAATTCTGCAGTAAATTGCTATATTCTGGCAATTTTTCCATGTAGCTAAACAAGGCCAGATTAAGGCATTTAGAGGCATTTGAAAGTTTTTAATGCTGCCTCATACGTTTACACTAGCTTTTTTTAATTTCTTCTCTGTATCTGTTTTGGTTTAGCTACACCCTGCATTCCTTGGTAAAATTGGCAATAGAGAATTGTTTGGTGCCCATTTCCTGAATACTTAAAATTCTTTCTGTGATGCTTTCCCTGTCCTTGATGCCTCAAGCATGGGCTTATATTGCTTAATGATAAATATAGCCGTGCAGCTAAAACCCAGAAGTGCATATTTTAAAACCGAGTTTAAGGGGAAAAAAATTATGTAGAAAAACTATTGAAATTTCGAGTGCAATGGATAGAAAGCATATGAAAATAGTGGTATTGCTTATTAAAACTGAAGAATTGTTATATGTGGCATTGCCTGTGTTTGTCACATTTTGAAAACTTGGTAACTCCTACTGAGGTGGTTGCAATAATACATAAATGCCAATAAAAGTAAAAATTAGGTGGGCAGCAACCTTATTTTGGCAAAAATTGTAGATAAAGCTTGGATGGAGTTTTATTCAAAATTTATGCGAAGTAAGATTGCTGTATTAGTTTGTTTCTCTTCTGATTTGATGTTTATAAACGTAATGGTAAAGGAAATTTAATGGTTTGTTTTTAGAATATGCCAGTAACATATTTTGGTTTAAACAACATAATTTCACTTGATAAATTACAAACTGAATTTGATATTTTTAACAGTTATGAATTTAATTGATAAGCAGTGACAAAGATATTTTTAAAGAAAATATTGTGGGAGTAATGAAACTCAATAAAGAAATGTAATGGCCAAGTTTTAGAATGTACAGTCAATATACTTCAGTGTTAGCAATGTAGTTTGGGTGGACAAGTAGTGTTTTTGGCAAATGACAAACTGAATTTAACAGTTTTAGAAATAATTGACAAACTAATGCTAAGATTTTTTAAAAAATATTTTAGAAATAATAAAAGTATCAGTAAAGAAATTTTGGTGCTGTTCTGTTATTAGGACCGGGTCCAGAAATATATGCGTGTGTAAATGGATGGATGTGTTCATGTATGCATGTATATATGTGCATCTGTTTGTGTTTATACACCAGGGCTGTGGAGCCGGTCGGGAAAATGACCGACTCCTGGAATTTTAGACTCCGACTCCATCATATATATATATATAAACATATACACATGGGTTACAGCTTATTTTTTTAATATAAAAGAAGTAATAGATGCTACAGAAAAAATCGATGGCATAATAAATGCTAATTAATTAATTAATTAGCATTTATTATGAAATGGAAAACTGGCATTAGATATTTCTAAGAAACGGTATAGCTTCGGCAAGACCTTCTTTGTTGGAGGGCCATAGATCCAGTTTGATAAACTTCAGAGGTGAGAAGAGTCCACACTAACTTTAGTAGGAGGAAGAGCTGTTACTGTTAGGGCTTCTTTTAACTTTTCAGGATAGATTTTTATAAGTTCTAAAAGAAGTGTCCTGCAAGCGCAATCATATTTCTCTATTTCTTCAAAGGCTGTGTAGGAATCTTGTTTGTATTTTAAATTTTTATATCTAAATGCTCTTTGTTCTTTATTTTCATCTGCTTTGCCTTAGCCTTTTCAATATTATCCAGAAATATTTCTCAAATCTAATTCATCACTGGAAGAGGATGATAGAGACTCAAATAATTCATCACTGGAAGAGGATGATAGAGACTCAAATGTGATGCCTGCAGTTTGACTATCCTGATTCGAATTCTCTAATTGTTCTGAGAATAGTTTCATTCTTAATGAAAGTTCATATGTGGCTTTCTTTGCTTTTTTAATTTGTTCGTCATCCAAGAAAATTCAGTTTTTCGAATCTACATATATTGAACCCAGCAAGATCTTATTGTCTAGCAAACTAGTTTCTCTTTTCTTTATTGAAGAAATGATACCTTCTGCAATAAACCCTCAATTTCAGAAAGAACAAACATCACATTCTTTCATTCTCGACTCCTGTCAGTTCTCCAGATTGCAGCTTTTTTGTGGCTATACATGGTGTAGAAAGAAGAGTTTCTAATTTTGCGACATCATTCCACAGTCACTAACATTAGTCACCCTAATTAATGTTAGTGAAACATTACGGTATCTACATCTTCTAAAAAAGTTCTTATTTCTAACAACCTCTTTATCATCAAATATAGACTTCCTTATTGCGTTGCTTGATCAATAATTGCTCTTTTTCGTGTTCGCTTCTTAAGAATGGCATCAATTTGGGAGTTCTTTCTGCTATTGCTGCTTACCTAAATTTACCAGTGAGATTTGTAACTAAATGAATCAGTTTAATCACTAATGGCAAATATCGCATCCATCCGCCTCCCTTATATTTATTAATATGTCAATAAAATAGAAAATAACTATTTATTAATGTATATAGTTCATAAATAAAAATAATAACTCAGCTTGTCATTAATATTTACAATTCATTTTAATTTCATTTCAAATTCAAACTGTCCAACAAAAACTGGAGTTGGAGTCGACCTGTTTTTAGAGACTTCAGCTTTGACTCCTTTTACCCGAAAATCTGCCCTTCTCCGATTCTGACTCCACAGCCCTGATTTACACATGTGCATACATATGTATATTTCTGAATCCAATCCTGAAACAGAAATTAAAATTTTATGGTTTGTTTTTTGGATATACAGAGAACATATCTCAGAGTTAGCAACATAGTTTCACTTGACAAGTAATTTTTTTTGGCAGATTTTGAATACAGAAAAGTATTCTAAGGTATGTTCCAATTGCTTCTTTGTTTTTATTGTTATAGCTCAGATACCTTTTGTTTTTATTGTTATAGCTCGGCATTAGATACCTTAAGAAACTTCAAGGTTGCAATAAAAAAACTAGCCAGACCTTTCCAGTCTGCTATTCATGCCAAAAGAACCTATAGAGAATTGAGGTTATTAAAGCATATGAATCATGAAAATGTAAGTATACTTTTATTAGTTAACTGTATGTTTACTAAATAATAATATATGCTTGTTCTCCATTAAAACCACACTACTTAGAGCTTTTTTTCTTTTGGCATGTTTAATTAGTTTGATTTGGCTTCTTTCTTGGCTGTAAATTGTCTTTATAACCATTGCTTGCAAAACCATGTTTTCATTATTGTATTTTATTTATTATTTTTTTTAAATTGCAGTGAATTTTAAAATTTGGAACATTTCACTGCAAATCATTCTTATCATTTCCTTAATCTGGGCAATAAGGTGCCATGTAGTCTGTTGAGTGTTTATGAGGCAGTGAAGTATGGTTCAATAAATGCCAAAGACACACTGCCCATTAACATTTAGATGCTTATTTAATTGACTTAATGTGGCATCATTTGCATTCCAAATGAGAAATGTTCTCTAATATGCCAAATGTCATTTTTAATTTTATGTCTGGTATATTGTCTTATTTGATTCCTTTTTTAATGCAGTGCTTATCAATTACTGTTACATTTTATGGTACATATGCATTATCCTATCAATCCAGAAACTTTTGCCAAACAGTGTGATTCAGTGGCAGAAATAAGCCCAAATTCAGCAAATATGGTGTTAAACATATGAAAAATTAATGGGAAAATGACATACATTTTATTGACAGTCTTTGCTTTGATGACGAGCAATTTTATAAAAAATCGGAACACACACTACAAAGTCCTATTCTCTGGGTGATCTAATATTTGGACCTCTGAACCACCAGTCAAAAATAGTAATAATATTGTTACGTTTTCTTTTTCTTCTGACACCAATTGTTGGTTGTTTTTTTTCTTCCTTCACATTCGTACGGGGTTCGTAGATTTGGAGTGTATAACGACGACACTTGATGAAGTATCGAAACACACTTTATTTAGACAATATTGTTAGGACAGCTCCAAAACACGTTTTACAGTCGTCGATGAATTACTATAAACACGCTGACACGATCAGCGACACAGCCTTCAGGTTATCAGGCTATCACGGGGAGACAGCTTCCTGCAAAGCATCCGACTCTGCTTTCAGGAGTACAGCTCCTAACTCTGCTTGGTCGTTCTCGGAACTCCACATACTCTCAAGAATCTCCACGCTACAACTCGCGATGCACTCGACAACACACGAGCACAGCTTCCGACTTTTTGGTTCAGTCGTTCCCGGAGCTCAACACGCTCTCTCGACGATGCACTAACCACAATACACTAAGAGACTCCTTCGGTGCACTTGACAACCCACTTGGCACACATTGCCCGGCTGTCAACACGATCGACTCCACACGGCTCGCTAGACGAGGCACGCTCTCTGAGACGCACTCACTGACTGACTGCGGACCAGCAGGGCTTATGTAGCTTTTGGCTTGTGTTCGGGAACATCCTGGGCTAAACCGGTAAGAATTCGTTCCAGAAGGTTCTCCAACCGTCCATGGTATATAGCCAATTTTGTCGTCAAATGGGCGATTTCTCGCCAAATGTGGCAACCCTGCCCTTCTTTACCATTTTATGGCAGCCCTAAAACTGCTTTATATGGAAGCTATCTTATTTTCTTTTGTAACAATATATAAAAATTGACCTCCTCTCTACATACAGATTCTAGGAACGGGAATATTGATTAAAGTACTGTTTTCTCAACGAAAGGATTTGGAATTTTTTTCTGACTGACATTCCTGCATGTCACATTCAAACAGCTGCTGATAGGTAAGTGGCATCATATCCAATGACAATACAGTGATTGATATATTGATGTATTGATCTAGGATCACACTTACCACTCTTTAGTAGTTGTAATGAGGATTAGCATTTTTCTCTCTGACCTAAACAAGTAAGTGAAGCCACAAGTTGTCAAGCGCACATGTCATCTTGATAGGCTTAATTTGATGATCTTCAATCTAGAAATATCTAGAATTGCTGAAGTCCTTATGATTCTGAATTTTGAGACTTAATACTATATTTCGTTTAATGATCACCAACTAGCAATTTCACCACATGTATCTGATAGAAAATTGGTTGGCATGTGTTGTCCTAAAATGGAAACAGTTTTGAAGTTTTGGCATCAAATCTAAAAAAATTTAACAAGAATGAAAGTAGTTTCCAAATTTTGGGATATATTTAGGAAAAATATTAAACTGTTGGGATATGTGAAGTTTGCTTTAAGCTGCCTTGAAGGAAAAAAAAAAAAATACTGCTGCTCTGTGGTAGAAGAAGAATTAAAAGTCAGAGGGCTGTCAGATTTTAACTGGACCAGTTCCAGGCTATTTCCATTTTTGGTTTGCACTATTTAAAAATAAATAAATGTATTTATTTTAAATGAAAAAATCCGTTCTTAAACCATCTGACATGGGTAAATAACCTGGTTTAACCAGCTGGTCTGGGTAATAAAAACCAGCCAGTTGTTTCCACCCTTAGCTTATTGAAGCCCTTAGGGAAAGATTCTTTTTGTTTGAGGATGCCAAAAAAGTATATTTTTATATTTGGAATGTCGTAGAAAGTTACTTTTCCTTTCTATTGTATGATAAGAAATTTTTATTAAAGAAATTTGTTAATTTATTTTTCAATTATTATAGGTCATAGGCCTTTTAGATGTGTTTACCCCTTCTACTACATTAGACGATTTTCAAGATGTGTGAGTATTTGTCTCTGTTTGTATATCCATATATTGTCACAACCATTTCTGATACTTGTGTACTAATGCGACTGGTGCATTTCATCAGTATTTACAAATGAAAAGGTAAAAAGACTTATCGGGTACAAGTTCGTGACTTATTTAAAGATATTCCCAAACTATCGATAGTTATCGTAAGTCAGCAAGCATTTTCAGCATATCAAAGGAAAATAAACATTTTAAAATGTAAATTTTAATTATTAAATAAGTATTATACAATGCATAAAATAAAATGCATTTTTTGTGAAATCCTTCTCTGTCTTTTTAGTGTGGTTCTGCCCATGTACACAGTTATCTGTTTTCTGCTTGAAAAATATTAGAGAATTCCACAAATGTGGCATTGTGTACTGGTTAACTACCAAACTCATTCCATCATCATTCCCTCTAGCGATTTTGGGGCAAAATATCATATTCCTTCATGCGTATTGCAATTGTTTCCATTGCTAGTTATTTCCACAAGTGATATTTTAAGATCGAGTTAAAGGCAAAAAAATATTACGATTTGTCTATAACAAATGTTGGAATTTGTAATACAATGAAAAATATACATGCAAAAAATGGCGGCATTGCTTGACTTAAGAATTGTTATAAACATGGTTGGCTAAAGAATGTGTATGCGCATGGTTGCTATAGTTTAGCACATTCTGAAAATTTGACAACCTGTGGTTGCGATAATATGTAAGAACCGTATTTCTTATATTGCGGTATTTTATAAATAGAGTCAAATCCTGATGTCAGTCTGAATACAGTCAAATCCTGCCCAATTATGTTTAGAATATTATTTATGCAGTTATAGCAAATCGCAAAAGTGAAAATTGAGTGTAATAAACTTACTGGTATCTTCAACTGCAATTTTTGTGGGGGGGGGGGTATAATTTTTCCTCAGTTTTTTTTTTTTTTTTTTTTTTTTTTTTTTTTTTTTTTTTTTTTTTCTTTTTTTTTTTTTTTTTTTTTTCTTTTTTTTTTTTTTTTTTTTTTTTTTTTTTTTTTTTTTTTTTTTTTTTTTTTGTGTTAAGTTTTAACAGAAAAATTTTTAGCATTCAAAATCCTCTATATTTGGGCTTTTAGAATAAGGGAAAACATATTTGCAATACTGTTCTTCCCCCTCCCCCCCCAACATTTTCCTGTGTTCTAAACAAAAGCTATTTGTAGCAGGTGTAACATTCAATTCTTGGAAAACCAGAATACTCAATAAGTGTATCTTTGACAAATGTATTTTGTGATGAAAATGATTATTTTTTCATTAACTGTATGTTTTAGAAATTAAAAATATTTTCTAGGGTACTGTTTGTATGGAAGCTTAATGTCCTTGGGACTCTACTAGACCAAAAAGCAAGTTTTTGCTTTAGTTAGAATTATAATGGCAAAGTCTTAGAAAAGATAAAATTAATTTGAATTATTTTAATTACTTTTAATTGAATTCATTAAATTAACAGAAGGTATCACTTGTGCTATAAAATATAACTTCACTGCTTGTTGGTATTTAAAACAACATAATCTGAAGTTAAATTTAAGTGATATAGAGACTATACAAAAAATAAATTACTTAGCTGGCTTATCATAGTGACACATATTTAAATATCACCTAAAAAGATCGTAAAGTCAGAATAAACTTCGACAGAGCTGTCGATAGTACATAACTGCAATGTGAGGCTGCCAGAAAGTCTGAAACATTCAAAACTTCATCTTAAATTTTCAACAACTAATTTGCATTCTGATGAGGACTATGAAAAGAAGTTACAATAAAGTTTCAAATCATAATAACTGGTTAATTTTCATAAAATCGTACAATGTTTTAGATAAAGATAAATGCTTTGAGGAAAGAGTCTGAACTTCAATTTCAATGCTAAGTAATTAATAATGTAAGATTATTAATGTATGTTGATACTGAATGCTAATGTGACAATGCTAAATCAATTCATTTGTAATTCATTTGTCAATTTTTACATTTTTTTAGATAATTAATTTTTCTTATGCTATTGAATATAGCAAACCAAATCTTTTATGCCTTAAAACTCATTATAGAAGTATTTATCTGTAGTAAAATCTCAAGTTTGTTTAATGTGCATTTTAATAGCTCTAATAGATGACTGACAGACTGTCTATCTGTAATAGATGATAAAATTCATTTCCTGTTACTTATCATTTATGCAAGTTCACATTTTTGGGGTTTTGATTATTATTATTACTGTGACTTTTTTGGTGACAAAACATCTGCAGTGGCATTTTAGCCATACTTATCGGTTTCTCATATCTAGTTTGTCTGTAAAAAGAACATTTGAGATGACAATCAGTTGCATTTTCTATTTTGCTCACTTCTTTTTTTCACTTAAGCATCTGGGCATTTAATTAATTATGACAAATGAGTATAACGTATAGAATTTTCTGTAGACTGAACCAGAATCTCTAACGGAAAATAAATAGGAAAGGGCCGCTGAAATGTCATTGAAAATGTTTAGACACTGAAAAATTATCAGCATTAAAATGTAACCTAGGCTAGCTAAATACCCATTTTTACTTATTATTTTAGATTAAATGGTACTTGCATATTAGTAAAACCAATCTGGCCCAGTGTCAGTTTTCTACAGAAGGAAAACAATAATGATTTGTAATTGCATAAAATTATTTATTACATGCATTCATAAAATATGTAAGTACTGATTAAATGTTTTATATAATCATTTATTTGCATTTTCCATTCTGTAGATATTTAGTTACTCACTTAATGGGAGCTGATTTAAATAATATCATCAAAACTCAGCGCTTGAGTAATGACCATGTTCAGTTCCTTGTTTACCAGATTTTACGGGGTTTGAAGGTATGTTTATTATTGTGTGTTATATTTTTATTTTTTTAATGCTAAATGTACCAGCATACTATAATTAAAATTTAATGCATGCCAAGGTTTTGATACTGGAACAGATGGATAATGTGCCTCTAGTAGGAGTGGTACTGTAGTTTGGACCGTGACCTTTGAGAAGGAAGACTATCCAATTCTTTTTTGACATCGCCATGAAGTGTCTGAAGAAATCGATCCCATTCGTTAGGAGCAAATTCTAGTATGGGGTAGGTTTCTTTGCACACTTTGTGGTGAAATAGTAAGAGAGTTTGATAGCCTTGTTTCTTGAAGACCATGATTGTGCAAAAGTAGTTCTGAAATTAAGTGATGCTTTGCGTAATAATTTCTTTTGGTGCAAGTTCTTTGGTTAATGAATAGAGAGAACACCTGTTGATAGCATGGTGTCTCTAACTTTTGTTTTACCGTATAGGCCAATTTTTACTAATTATTTGTAGTATTTGTGAAATAAATTCTAGTTTTGAAATTTTATGTGCTAATTAATTTATAATGCAATTTGAGTTTTTTTATTAAGCTGCCAAAAAAGTGCACCTTGTCAGCATATCTGCATTCATCTGAGTTACCTCTGAAATTTATCTTCTTTATTAAATCAAAATCAAGTTCTTTCATTTTTGGAATACAAATACTTTTGTTACATATTACTAAGTATGGTAACTTAACAACATTACAATGATTTTAGGATTCATTTGCAAAAAAAAAAATTTAATATTTTCCCTTTTCTTTTCTTTTATTTTAAAAATCTATATTTTTCATCTGATGACTTTTGAATATCCTGATTTTGAACTCCAAAATGATAAATATTTTACAGCATAGTTTCCGAACTACTTCTTAGCTAAAAAAAAAGCTGTTGTGATTGTGTTAAAATTAATTTCATGTGTATAATTTTCCATTTTCTAATTATAACTGCATTTCTTCCTGTGTTTCCCCTTATCTCTCTATGATAAATGTTTCAAAATATGTATAGATATTCAGATAAGTATAAATTTTCTCTGCAAAATTCACTTTTATCTTAATTTTTTTAATTATATGATTTTTATTCATATAAAGTTGACAAGAATGTCTGTCTTGCATTCTTATGATAAAAATGTTAAAATATGTTACCTGCAGATTAATGTATTTTCCAGAAAAATGTTCCATCTTCATACTAAAGATATGAAAGTAAATGTAATTTTGCTAATGTATGTAATATTCAGTCACTAGGACTGCTTAATTAGACTGTTTTTAGTTCAAGTTTTTGTCCTTTAGTTTGAAGTCCTATTTGTGATCATATTAAAAGTGTGAAGGCAAAAATGAATAATTTTAGTCATGCTTGCAGTATTGTTTCTAGAACTGTTTTGTTAAAGATTGTTTTCCTTCACTTTTCCCTTAAGTTTAATTTAGTTTTGCGAGGTTGTGGGCATATTGAAAATATCAAAGTGAGTACTATTTCATGCCTGCTGTTAATACAAGGGGTGATCAAATGAAAAGGTACGAAACGACACGGTGGGTACAAATGTAGACTTTTTTAAAAAATATACACCATAAGCCTGAGCACAACGATCCCACTGATGAACAAGCCGCAGAATTCCTGTGGCTGTGACGAGACCCAGTCCTTCACAGCGTCCTTGAGTATGTCGTTCGAGTTGAAGATGCTTCCCTTTCAGGTGTTTCTTCAGTGGACCAAACACATGGAAATCGCAGGGCAACATGTCCGGACTGTAGGGCGGATGGTTCAAAGTCTCCCACTTGAACTTGGCCAGTTCCATGTGTGTGACTCTTGAGACGTGGGGACACGCGTTATCATGGAGCAGAACCACACCCTCCGTGAGCAGCCCCGTTTTTTTGTTCTTGATGGACCTGCGTAGGTGTCGAAGTGTCTCACAGTACAGAGGTAATGGTTTTTCTGTTCTTCAAGAATTTTACAAGTAGCGGACGACCTTGAATGTCGAAAAAGACCGTGAGCAACACCTTGCCTGCTGACTTTGAACTTTGGGGGAGGTGATGACGCATGCTTCCACTGCATGCTGTCCCGGGCTCGTAGTGATGGCACCAGGTTTCATCATCTGTGACGATCTGCTCCATGAAAGCGGGGTCTTCCTGATTACCGAAACAAATGTTGCAGTGTTAGCCCCATATGCAGTTCCTTTTGCTGAAGTGAGCTGCTTCGGAACGCAAGCGGCACACACCTTCCGATATCGCACCTGTCGTGAACAATTGACCACACGGTTCCATAGCTGACATCCACGTTCACCATTCGCAATGTGACACGCTGATCACTTCTCACTAGGTCGTCCACCGTGTCGAGATCACTCGTGATGACAGTGTTTGCCTGGCCTGATCTTGGATCATCACCCACACTCTCACGGCCTGCACGAAAACGGGCATTCCATTTTTTGACAGACTTGTCAGAGACACATTTCTCCCCGTAAACTGTCACCATCCGGCAATGAATAGCTGCCGGTTTCTCATCTTCCGCTGTCAGAAATCGGATAACATCTCGCTGCTCCTCAGTCGTTGAATTTTGCAACGCGAACGCCATCCTGTCCTCATACGGACTGCTGCATCATTTGGACGCCGCTTTTGATAAGAGCTCTGCTCTCTTCTGCGTATGCGGGCGCCCACGCATGCTCCGATCCCAATCAGAGATTCCAATCGCATCCCAAGATTTCTCGCTACGTTCTTCCATGGCAGAATATGCAAATATTTAACTGCTACGTTTTTACGTCGTTTCGTACCTTTTCATTTGATCATCCCTTGTAGATTGCTCTGTCAAAGATTTTCTTTCCATTATGTTTGTTCAGTTAAGCTGTACTGGTAGACAGTGCTCACTTTTTATTTTGCCAGCACTTTTACAACACGATAGACAAGGATGTATCCCCCCCCACAAGAAAAAGGTTACAAGGGTAATAAAAAATTATTTATTAACAATAAACAAAAAATACAAAAGTGAATTAAGAGGCGTACTTGCCTATTATTTCTCCACCAACAGTAATCTCATATCTAAGTGAAATTAAAAATCAGTTTTTTTCTGCATTTATTCTTTCATTTTCCAAAATTTAAAACAGCCTTACATTTGTAAAAGCATTTTATGAAGACTTTACTAATGCTTGATAAGTATTTAGTTTTGCTTTAGTTCTGTAACTTGTACATAACGAAGCTTATGCTATTACATGCATATTAAATGCTAATTTTATTTTCATTATGTTTAACTGGTAAAAATAAATACCCTCCCCCACAAAAGGTCTATTATATCAGTGTAAAATTTTAATTACAAAAACATGAGAAAAAGGCATAAAGTAAAATTTAATGTTAGAATGATGAATAAAAGTTTATGTAAATGTGTTTTACTTCAAAAATCATGTTATAATTTGTTTAGTAATATGAATTGTGTATTAGAACATGATTTTAAGTAAAATTTCAGTGGACTTTCAATGTGACCAGTCTTTTTGAAGTTGCATCACTATTCATTATGCAAACCTTAAGTTTTTTAAGTTTCAGAATTTTCATATTTCATTTTCAAAGTTGGTAGCTTTGGTGTATATAGCTGGATAACAGAAACAAATTATAATTGAAGAAATAAAAATATCATAGTTATTTAAAAGTCTTTTCCCATTTCATGTCTAAAGAACATCTGTCGGAATTTCGTCATGATGCAATAGCACATGCCAAAAAATTTTTTGCAGATAGATTCATGCACCAGTGTTAAATTAAATGTGTTTTCTTTTCTGGTATAATACTGTTTTGGTTTTCAAAGTAAGTATTGTTAATAAAAAGTTTTAAATTCTGTTTTTATGTTTTTTCCTTTGTTTATTTAAATAACTAATGTAAGAAATATATGTTCAGAAAAATTTTGCTGCATTTGAAATTGACTGATGACAAAAGAGATATCTTCTATCTCCAAGCATCTGGCAGGTATACCTTTCTAGAAAAAATGTTTGCTACAAATTGATCTTTGATGGGAGAGATCCCTTCCGATATTAGAATTTCTCAATAAATTTATGAAAAACTGTATTAAATGATTGATCCTTTTTAACATAAGCATTCCCTTTATCAGACTTGATTATAGTTATTGTATTTTGTCCTTTAAATCTTTTTAAAGGCAGTTTTCTGAATAAAGTGATATGCATAACCACATTTGCCACCTCTCAGATATTGCTCCAGTTATTTTCACCCCTTATACATATATATATATGTGTGTGATGATTTAAATTTTTAATGAGACGACTGACCAGAGAAAGTACCAGTTTACTCTGCAGCTGTGGCTGGATGGTGATAGATAAGGCTGACACACAAATAGGATGTGTGATAGAAGAAGAAACTTGCAGACAATTGGATACTTTATTGATAACGAGACACATAATTTTTTTTTTTTTCTTAAAGAACAATTTCTTCACATCACTATGGGTGTGAAAAGCGCCCCATAATTCTGTATGCACATAATAGTGTTTTGAAACAATGGACAACAAAATAGTGAAATATTAAATAGTCAGGCAAGAAGAGAAGAAAAAAGTGAATATGCACTTCAGCAGGACCTATAAATAAGATCAAAATCCTTTCATTTGAATTCTGAATAGCAACTGGAAGGGAGCTTTCACATTGCACATGGAATTAATGACTTAAGTTACGCAATACAGATTTTTGAAGGGAATGTATCTAAATTAAAATGGATTAAAAGGGCTATTACCAAATTCCCATATTTTATAGCTTACATACATACATATGTATGTATAAGATAAAAAAATAATGTAAATCAAAGTTATAATTTAAAGTACAAGTAACCCCTTAATTCTCTGTCTCTATTCTAAAAATCGTAATAATTGAACTGCGTTATTTCTTGATCAGTCCATCCTGCATGAGTTGCTTAAAGCTGATAGCATAACTAGTTCGGAACCTAAACTTACATTTTCAAGAACTAAAACCTTTCTAACCTGAACCAAAACCTTGTCTTGGTGAGCCTTCATATTGGATAATTGCGCACTTTTTAGTTTCATTTCTCCTGCAGTCAAGATACTATGTCACTCCGTTTGCTTTGTTGTGCTACTAACTAATCCATTATCTAAAATGTAATAAATACTCTATGTAAAATTCTGGGGTGCATATTGCACCCATCATCATGTGTGATGAAGAATATGTTTTTGATAGTTAGTTTATATCCACCGATAAAAGTTACATTCAATTTGGCCACATTTGCCTACATCCCCTTAATGTATTATCCTGCCCATCCTGAAACTGTTATTGAGCAGGGCAGTTTAGCACCAGTTATGAAGATAAGTATGGTGCTGCAACACTCTCAAATTATCCATGCTTTTGTTTGATGTAACCCTGATTGATTCCCGAGAAGCTGCATTTTTTTTAATGTGAGTATAATTTAACTGTAATTGCTGTATACTTTCTTTGCATTTTGGGAGGGTGGAGGGATGAGTTTAAGGACTATAGAATCATATTTGTGCCTGCACTCTGCCTCATTTATAGCTGGTCAAGTGAATCAACATCTCTTTGATAGTTGAATAGCTGGATTTGGGCATTAAAGTAGTAATAGATTAGAACAGTTATCTGCAGGAAGTTTGCATTTGTAACATTCTAAACAGAGCTTCTGGTAAAATCAGAGGGCATAACAAAATAATAGAAATTAACAAAAAGCTTTTTTACAGAATTAAAAAAAAAAGAAAAAAAAGAAAAGAAAAGAAAACAGGTTGAATATTTCTACAGCACTGGCTATTTGGGGGATTGTGCAGAGAGAGTGACAAATATTATTATAAATCAAAGCATGCTAAGCAAACTCACAGCTTGAAAGTTGTTTAACGTGTTATTCTGTGATCGTGCTAATGAATGCTAGAGCCTGCTTAGTGCATTGCATTCACCTGAATCAATGAATGTTTTATTGCAAGAGTTGCAAAGTGTACCTCAAAATTCTGCAGGTATGATTGGTGCAACATTGGCAGAATCTTCGCCAACTTTCGTGGTTTCATGATAGCCTACTTTTCATTGTCAGCATTACATATATATTTGCAAATATGTTAGCACCAATTATAGTCACAGAAATAAAGTGATACAAAAAAGCATAATGTATTACATAATATAATAGCAATGCATATGTATAAATAATTTCTTTGGTGTTATCAATTATTAATTCATTAGCAGTATATTTTTTTAATTAATCAGTAGCATATTTGATATTGGATAATTTTGAGAATGAAATTTCAAAACATTTTATGATCATTGCCATTCATTACGGCAAACTTTTGGTGGCTTTTTCTCCATCATGTTTTATTGTAAAAGTTTAGGAATGCTGCCATATTGCACTGAAAGGAGAGAAATGCTTTATTCTTATAGAAAGCAGTGACATATATTTGGGAGTGTGGTAATTATTTAATGATAAAAAAATATGTATTCCTCAAAATTTATTTTTAAGGTTAAATCGTTAATTATTATATATTGTTAAATAAAACTGTTATTACATTATTATACTTAATTGTATTCATATTAATGTGAGCAAGAAATTTAACTTAATTTTAATTGCACTTGGCTTATATATATATATATATATATATATATATATATATATATATATATGTATGATGGTAGCATGTAATAGCTAATAGAGGAATAGTTATTACACACTTCATTCCACCATTCTTAGTGAAGACAGGAGGGGCTCGGGATATCATCCCTGTCATTGCATGAGTAATCTTTTATGCAGTAGGCCACCATTCTAAATCATTTTTGCTCTTTTTGGACTAAGTCCTTCATTTAATACAGTTTACAAAAGAAAAAAGTTACAGTTACAACATAATCGAGCTAGGTTAGTAAGTCTCGTTGTTAATATTTGGTTACAGTATTTACACTATATACATTACATGAATTTTTGACTTACGTGACATTGGTAACGTGTATACGAGCCAGTTTCCCTTAGAAAGTCCTCCACAAAGGCATCCTTCCCCTTAGGCAGATAGCCCTAGTGTGCTTTGCCGTATTCTCAATACACACACACACACTTACGTGACATTGGCCAAGATTTTGCTTGTTACAGTAAATCTTTTTCTCCTTTGATGAAGTGTCCTGTGTTGAGTTGTGTCATGATAGCTAGGATAGCTTTTACACATTAGTAGTCGATGAAAAGATGTTTAGTTGTGACATCCAAGATGTTAGTAGGGAATAATCTAGAATGATGCTCCTTTGTCTCTGGACAAGATCTCAAGCAGTGCAGGGCATCTGCTTCGGAAGCTGTGGTGCCACTTCCGCATTTGATGTTGCGATGCAAGAAACACATGTAAGTAAGAAGGGAAGTGACCATGGTTGGCTCATGCTTGGATGAAGATGTGAATGTATTTTATCCTTGAGAGGGAGGTGTCTGAAAAAATATTAAATATAAATCTTTTGGTGTTTTCTTCTCCATCTTTCTTGCCAATCTGCCATAAAGGCCTCTTTGATTAATCACTTGCAGACATCTTCTGAAACTGGGATTTCTTCATCGATTTCTGTTTTTGTCATGGCATTTTTTACTAAGGTATCAGCTCTCTCATTTCCTTCCAGGGCCATATGGCCTCTTACCCAATTTAGCTGTATTTTCTGGCTTGTCCGAAGAGTAGCCAGGACTTAGTGTAGTGTTTCGATGTGGGGGGGGCGACTAGTTGGCCTCGCTTGTTCAATCCTTGCAAAACACTCATACTGTCAGTATCTTCCTAAACTACAAAAGTAACTTTTACTCTGCTGTCTGCTTTGGAATCCTCCGACTAGATTTCTGTTTGAGTACCTTGTAGTGTTGTTTTAGTCCATTGAGTGCACTGGATGTAGCATTTCATGACTTCTGTATTCGATACTTTGGTGCATAATCAAGATATGACCAGTGTATGGCATCTTCCGTACATTGGAACAGACGGTATTTTGTTTTCTCTATTAGGGCTTTGATATCTAGAAGGAGAGTATGTGCAAGTGCTTGGAATATGGCTGTAGAGGTTGTTAAGTAAGGCTTGGCAATTTAGCGTAGAGCAATGCATTGCATTTGTTGTAGTTTCTGGCAAACTCTGACAGTGTTGGTCATTCAAACTGGACAACCATAAAGTATCATGTGCTCAATAGCTCACAGGTAAAACTCTTTTCAACGGTTTACATTTCAGGCAACATTTACTGTCAACTATTCTATTCAACTTATTGACTATGCCATTGTTTTTTTCTCGGACACTGCCTAAGTGGGGGACCCACATTAGCTTTTTGTCCAATATGAAGCCTAGGTACTTTATCTTGTCACCTGAGGGGGACTCCTTGCCATTTGATGCAGGGAGGGTTCATTTTGATCTTGTGCTCTTTAGGAAACATAACAAGTTTGTAAGATTCTCACTAGTGTAAGTTACTTTAGAAAGGAACGAATCTTAAGAACGAGTTAGCGAATAATTGCTTAAGTTCGTATGACAAGAAACAACAAGATGGAAGGGTAACTAACCTTTTATTATTCCAATAAGATTTAACAAAACTCCGTCTTGGAGTGTACAATCAAAGCTGACATGTGGGCTTGAACTTAAGAGACTAGGAATTAAACTAAAACTAAGATTAACTAAAGAAATATAGCTGAAGCTATCAAGATTAAAATTTGAGTTGGCTCCTTAACTTTATTTGACTACAAAGCTTATCAAGGGCCTAAGTACGGCCAAACGTAATAACAGCTTTGAGAGTGGCCAAAAGGCAGACGCGCGTAAATCAGAAACTCTGATTCTCTCTTGACTCTGTAAGTAACTTCGCGGTTTAAATACCGCTCCTCCTCATTAAGTATTCAGAAAGATTCCAAAACTACGTTCTGGCCGGCAGTAGTAAGTTGAAGTTAAGAATTTGACAGGAAAGGAACTTTAATTTAAAATTTAACTGTTAATAAAATTAACATAATCCTTACAAGTTGCTTTTTTTCTATACTGAACTTTAATTTGCAATTGTCACTCCATGTCGTTAGTTTTTCTAGTTTAGTTAGTTTTCCTGCCAGTTTTGTATTGAAATCATACCTGCACTTTGAAACAGGGTTAAATCTATCCAGGAGATCCGACATGCTTTAACAAAAGTGGGAATATCACTCTTCTTGTTTAATAATATGAGACTTGCTGAGTCTAGCAGTTTGCACACTTTGTGACCTCTTGGGTCTGTTGTGTTGTAGCCCCAGAGCAGGTTTTTTGCATTAAAGTCTCCTTCACTAAGACGGGAATCTCCTCATTGTCTTTAATAAGCTGCTGTATTGTGGCAAGCTCTGGATCCATGTTTTGGGATGGGGAGCAGTAAACCGTGATCATGGGAAGTTTGTGACTCTGTCATATTTTTATGCCATGATACTGGGTGTGCTCAGCACTTCTATGGCTGGGATAGTACTGTTCAATATTATTATTGCTGTTTCTGCATTACTCGTGTCATAGAATTTCCTATATTTTAGTGGGAGACTGTATAGTTTGTTATTTATTGTATATGGCTCCTAGCAGAGTAATTTCACTATTAACTGTAGCTATCAATGTCGACATGTGTTAATGCTACTTTGGGACTTTAATTACTTATGCTAGCAATCACATTTGCCGAAAAACACTGCAGCTACTACATGAAGTAAACAGGTGAAATGAATTAAGCTCCAAACAGAGGCAAGCAAAAGATATTACAAGACTGTCACTGGTGTCATCATAAAAGATAAAAATTATTTATCAAATCACAAAATAATTCAAGCATAAAAAAACTTTTATTCAACCAGGAAATTCGTTTCATAAAGCCGAAGCCAAAAGATTTGTGTCAAAAACCAGAGTTGCTGGATCAAGCCTGGAAGTGGCAACTGTGAACATAAAATTCCCTTTCTTTTCATAATGCTCAGTCAGCAAAGTTTTCAATTATTTTTAGAATTTTGTGTTATATTTATGTAATTTTTTAAAATATTATTTTTTTCCCTGTAGTATATTCATTCTGCTGGCATCATTCATAGGGTAAGTAAATTTTTATGTTTACAAATTGTTTTCATATCTTTGATATAGAAAGTGGTCTTTGTAAAGGCTGTGTTTAACCCTCGTAAATTAGCTATTGGGAGAATTTAACAAATTTGAGTTTCTTTACAAGTAAATTCGTTTGCATGCAGAATATCACTAATCATGCTGAAAAATTATTTTTAATTGCAAAATATTGTTACATGCGTACGGGTTCATAATAAATTAAATGCACAAGTCCGATGAAAAGTGAATAAAAATTTATTTTTATCACAGCAAATAAAACAAAATGCTTAAATTTCCTCAGATATTTGTGCAATATCTCACAATAATTATTTTTTTAATCTACTAAAACATTCAACAGAACTTAATTCAAAACAGAGAAAACTAATCCAATTTCACTGCAAATTCGCTACAATCATTAACAGCAGTAAGTAAATAACTGAACTGAGATGTTTCCCTCCAGCTTTTTATATGCATGGGAAATTTCTCATATTTTCTGTGATTTTTCTGGATATTAAAAGAGTACAACTACGAGATGTCTATTATTAAAATGTTAGATGTGCGTGCTTCTGTACTTAATTTTTCCGGCATAGACTCTTCAAATAAGTCTTGTGCTGCATTGCACAGGAGTGTAAAATAATTTTAATTACAAATTCTACTAAAAATAGGTAAACTAAATTAATACAAAAACCGTAATACTGCCCCCTTTTCAACAATTGCATGTCCCAGGCGGTACAATCCCTGAACAGGAAGCCAAACTTACAACTAAGGCGTAAATGCAGTAATAAACATTACATTACAATAACAAACAACATAAACAGTAATTACCATAGTAACTTAAAACAATTCAAATACTAAATACAAATCAAGTAAATGCATAAATTTTACAAGTTTGGAAACAAAAAGGACCATGGTCTTATACTATTTGCAATTACATACACTATGTACTATGACCATTGTAATGAGCCAACCTGTCGTAATGAATGAGTTTAGGTTTAGAGTTCGCTGACTTACGGATTCGAACCATGACGTCGGTCAGTCTGTTTAAAGGACTATATAAGAACCATTCCCAGGTGATTGTAATTTAGGACTGAATCCTTTTTGTTGAATAGGGTTCCACAACCACACATTGTCTCCTTCATTGAATTGATGTCCTGTAGCTCTTGTGTCGTATCAGGTCTTCATCTTCTCTGTCGCCAAGTTGACTCGCTCTCGTGCATCGCTTCAAACCGGGCCTGGAGATCTTGCATGTATTCCTCAGGCGATGAAGGTGCATCTAGAGGGCAGCCAAACAAAAGATCACGTGGCAGACGAAGGTCACGACCAATGAGCATCTGAGATGGGGAATAGCTGGTAGTCTGGTGTTTCTCTTCCACCCTAGTATGATTTCGACAGCTTTCTGAGCAGGGTCTTTCAGAGTAGATGTCTGCATTTCCAGGTGATGATCCCTCCTGAGCATGGATAGTTATGTCCTCTGATACTGGAAGTAGTTTGTTGTTTTTGAGGTCAAAGGAGAAATTGTATTTCTTTAAAACGTCCAATCTGAGTATGCAGGGATATGTAATATCTGCCACATATGCCGTGTGATAGTTAGTAGGCAGCACTTTCAAACGTGATGTTAACATTTAGCTTCCCATCTATGGTGATTTTATCACCAGACACAGTCTGGAGGGTATTACAGGATAGTGTCCAAATGACTGTTGAGCTAAATCTTTCTGGATGATGCTAACATTAGCTCCTGTGTCAATGATCATATTGCAAGGAACTCCATCGATATACCCATTGATGGATAGTCCATTACTGCTACCACTCACTGCAGAAATCTTGAGCGCTTTAAATCGGGGGTTTTCACTATCCTTCAAACTCCGCTCCAGGATATGATCATTAATTTGTTTTCTGTGTTATTGCAGGGAAATGGTCTTAATTTCCGTACCCTGGGTTGTTCTGCAGTTCCTTCATACATGACCTTCAGCTCCCAGCATTTTGGTTTTTTTGTCACTCCTTTTCTGTCTCATGGTATTTAATTGTCTGTTTAAATTCTCTATCTTATTTTTCTGTGTGCCTACCAGCGGCCGAGCGGTAAAGTCGCTGAACACTGGTAGTTCGGTCCGAGGTTCGAATCCTGCGAACGTGCTGGCTGCATAGGTGTTTTCGTGGATTTCCCCATGTGTAACGTGCATACGAGCCAGTTTCCCTTCGAAAGTCCTCCACGAAGGCATCCCTCCCTTTAGGCAGATAGCCCTCGATGCTTTGCCGTAATTAAATAACCTAACCTATTTTCTGTGCTCTGGAGTATTCTGCAGTTCCTTTGTATGTGGCCTTCAACATCACAGTACCAGCATTTAAGGATTGGTTTCTTTTCACTCCTGCTCTGTTTCAAAGCACTGACTGGTCTTGTCAAATCATCCGTTTTATTTTCCATACCCTGGGGTGTCCTGCAATGCTGTTGTATGTGGCCTTCAGCACCACATCTTCAATACCTTAAACCAGTGTGTTTTCACTCCTACTCCGTGTCAAAGCATTGACTTGTCTGGATAAATCATCTAAACGAACCGTTAATTGATCCGCTGACTCGTAGCAATCTCTACAAGTTGCTTGCTGCCTCAAATTTCATGGCGTACACTAGAGCGCTTTTTACGTCTTTGACATCCGTCATTCGCAGAGCTTTCTGTATTTCGGAATCTCGGATGCCGTCGGTAAAGTAGGATTTCCCTTGTTTCTGTTGGGCACTCTGAAAAGGTGAGATGGGACAGCCTTTCAACATCTATGGTGAGTTTATGGAGTGTTTCCGTGGGCTTCTGTTAGTGGGATTTTAATTGAAGCCTACTGTAGTCTGTCAAACACTTCTCCCTAAAGTGCAGCTACAACACGCCGGACAGAGTTTTGAAGTCTAGTCTCTGGTTTTCTAGAAGAGTTTGAAAAATATCCACAATGTTCTGCTCTCAGAGAAGCGGTGAGATAACAGGCTTTAGCTTGGGAATCTCATCCATTCGCTTCCACCACTATAGAAAATTGTGTCTTATATACTTGCCAGGAGGTCTTCCCATCATATGTGGATAATTTCAGAGATGAACGAGCAGGTATGGGTAAAAATTTGAAAACCATCATAAACTGCTCCCTGCCATATTTATGAACTTCTTTAGAATATCAACTTCTTTCGCAACTGCCAAAACCCTGTCATCAATTTGTTGTTTTGGATGGCAGAAACTCTTCTTTCTATTTGTTTTTTCACAGAAGAACCTCTTCCTTCAATGTGTCCAACTCTATTTTCAACAGCGTCTATTATGTGTTCCATAGCCTCAGATTTGTTTTCTATTGCACAGGTAATTTCTCTTTTCATTTTCTCTTGACTTGCTTTCATTCCTCTTAAACAGATACTTGAACAGCTTCAACTTTTTCTTTGGCAGATTCCTATCGCACTTTCACTTCCTCTTTAACAGAGTTGACAGCCCTTTCCATCTTTTCTTGAAATGCAGCAAATGCAGTCATTAATTGCTTGAATTGTATAAAGGATGCTTGGCCAGCTTCCATCTTTTCTTGACCAGATTTCATCTTTTCTTTAAATGAGGCATAGGCTGCTATCAATTGCCTTAATTGTTCTTCCATCGCTCATTGTAATTGGCATTCGAAATCCTACTCCTGACTCCAAAAAGTGTTACGTGCATCCAGGTTCGTAATAAATTGAATGCACAAGTCCGATGAAAAGTGAAATTATCACACCAAATAAAACAAAATGCTTAAATTTCCTCAGATATTTATGCAGTATCTCATAATAGTTATTTTTTTAAACTACTAAGATGTTTAACAGAACTTAATTCAAAACAGAGAAAGCTAATCCTTTTTCACCACAAACTCGTTACAGTCATTAACAGCAAGTAAACAACTGGAACTGAGATATTTTCCTCCAGGTTTTTATAAGTGTTGCAAATATGGCTTATTGTAACCACTTTTGCATCATCTCTTCTCCTTGAAATAATTCTAACTTTTACATGAGGTTTAGTTTCTATTTTAAGAGATATAGCAATTTTTTTTACTTCAATTTCACTGCCACTGTTTGTATTACGAATGGACTGTTCCAGCCTTATTAATATGCAAAATCGAAACTCGAGGTTACGTCATCTGGAAAACAGGGTCGTGCTGACAGCTGATTGGCTGCTGTGCTATGACGTCATGTCTACTTCATGTATAAATATCTTGCATCGTTCTGGTGTTCCTGTTTCCATTGCTCTTTGGGTGCTGTTCCCCCTCACATTCAGAGACGTTCTTGTGATGCGTGTCGTCCAGTGTTAAGTGGCTTTTCAGTGCCGTAGTTCTGAGCCATGTTTGTTTTCCAGGATTCTGCAAAGCGGCGATTTATTTCAAGTTGTGGTTTCCGGTAAATAACTGCTGTGGGTGGCATCATTAACACTTTCAAGGTTAAGCGGTGATGTATTACAATTTGTGGTTTCCTGTGAGCAACTGCTTGTGGGCGGCATCTTTAACACAAGTGTTTTTAAGGTTTAGTGGCTATGTTTTTCAAGTTGTGGTTTGCCGTGAGCAACTGTGGTGAGCGGCATATATAAACACAAGTATATTCAAGGTTTAATTTTTTGAGGTGCCTTCTTAGCCAAAAGCATAGACCTATTTAGTCAAGTGAAATTCAAGTTTATCATGTAGTTTTTGTTCAGTGATATGTTTTTCGCAAGTTTTTGAATGCTAGTATTCATAGAACAGGTAATATGTTTGTTGTATCATTAATAGTGTAATATTCTTAAAAGAAAAACCCTTGGGGATTAATGAACAGTTAACTAAGTGCAATTTTTGGCAATGATTATGTTACAATCTTAACTTTAAGTTTCTGGTATTTATCAAATTTATTTATTGTATTTTTATTTCTATATATATTGTTAATAAATTGGTTAAGTTTAAAACTTTTGTCATCCATGTCTGCATAATACATAACCTTAGGGTGTTTCTACTGTGATAGTTATTTCTGCTAAATACTTTCTATAACTTTAAACTTTGTTTTTTGCATCAATAAGCTTTTTAAATGCACGAGAAAATTCTCGTATTTTCTCGATTTTTCTGGATATTAAAAGAGTACAATTATGAGATACCTCTTATTAGAATGTTAGATGTGTGTTTAATTTTTCCTGTGTAGCTTTCTCTTCAAATAAGTCTCATGCTGCATTGCACATTTGCAAATTCTACTAAAAATAGCTAAACTAAATAAATACAAAAACTATAACAATATATAATTAAACTGGACTATATAAATGGGACATTGGAGAATTCCCTGCTATTCTGTAAGTATTGTGTAACTAAATAATTGGTAGGTATAATTATAAAAGTATAAATTTGGTATTATATTTATGCATATGGTTTAAAATTTAAATTTTAAATCTTACTTAATCAATATTATACAAATAACTAGACCTTTTTTTATTAACCTTATTTTTTTTTTTATTAACAGTTTAAAACAAACTGTTAATAAGATGAAGAAAAATCTACTACTTTTGAGCAATGACTGCAAAAAGTGAAGGATATTAAATAAAAAAATAATAATAAAAATTCATATTAGTTGAACATATAAACAGAATAAAAAGGCTAAGAAGTTATATATAACTTTTAGCATTCATATTTTAACATTTCAGAAAGAAAGTTGTGTATATTTGTTCTTTCTTTTCTTGTGTATGCATTATATCTCACAGAACATCAAGTTTTGCAGAATACTCCAATAAATACTATTTTCAGTGGTGTGCTGTGAAACATTTAGTATGCAATCCAGTGTTACAGCTTTGTCAATGTATAAATGTTTTCATCTGATAGAAACAGCATGTAGTTTGTTTTTGGACAAATATAGCAAAATATATTTGATTAGCCTTAACTTTTTAACTCTATTCAAAAACCTTGACATAGTGTTTTCAAATGTATAATTGAAAAATATTTAAAATCATTGTCACTAGTTATATGATTTTATGTACAATGATATTTCTACTAAACTGACAAAATATTATTTGAAATTTATGTACACTAAAAAAAGAAAGAAAGAAAAAAGTTCCATATCTCCCATTCTGTTGGGTTGATTGATGAAATTCAAATTGCGTTTTCCATGTCTTGAAAGCACAACTTGGGATATATATTAGATTTATATATAGCTTTGTTCTAACATAGGTATTTTGACAAAAAGTCAGACTTTATCTGAAATAACATACCAGTTTTTTTCCATATTTCAATTCAGACTCAAATTATGCCAAGATATTGAATTTTGTAATTTGTGGTGAGAAATTCAAAAATTTATCTTGGTGAAATTTTTTTCAGTTTTCTCCAAGAATAATTCACTATGCGATCTTAGTTTACAGCAACCTATTTTCAAATCCTTTTTCTTCATTGTCCATGAGCGGAAAAAGTGTCATCATTCATACTTTCAAATAATTTTAATAAAGTGCGTAAACCACATTTTCATTGTTATCACTTGTAATAAATATGCCAAATTTCAAAATGTAAATTCACGTATTGGAGATAAAGTTGGGGAGGGGTGGTTGTACTTACCCGAAGACATGCAGCACTGTGCATTGGTAGTGGTTTGTGACAGCAGCAGTCCCGGTCATATTCGAATCCCCTTATATGTAATATTGTTAGAGCAAGATGTAAATTTTAAAAATATTGTATAATAATCATATTCCTGAAAAGCAAATAAATGTTTTCAAAACGCAAAGAGATCACAACATAAGAATTTTGTGCAAAATCATATGAATTTGAATGGATTAAGATGAATAATGATTTCATGAAGGAGTCAGCATTATTGTTATGATTTAGATCAGATTTAAGTACATATTCTATAGAGGCAAAACATTTTTTTAATAAAATTCATATGGAAGCAGCTCTCTCCCTAAAATGACCAACTCATGAAGACCATCATGTTTTGCCATTATTCCCTTTGCTTTTATCCATATGAGTTGGTAATTATTCTATTTACTATCTTGGGTAATGTTTTCTTTTAGTCATATATCCATCTTTTTTCATTTGTTTTAGTGTTGTTTATTGTTTTAAGGTTTGGCTACAAATGCTCTCTTCTTAACTGAAAAGTTCCCCGTTTATTAATTTTAATATTCTCCTGTAACACTTCAGGAATTTTTGTTTCATATCTCCAGTTATATATATATATATATATATATATATATAAATTTTTTTTTTTTTTTTTTTTTTTTTTTTTTTTAGGATTTAAAAACCTAGTAATATTGCTGTCAATGAAGATTGTGAATTGAAGGTAACATTATTATTTTGATCTCTTTTTTATGGTATTTGATGTCTTTGTATTGCTGCTGTATGTCATTGAGAAGTCTTATTTTAGATTTTAGATTTTGGTTTGGCTAGGCATGCTGAAGTTGAAATGACTGGCTATGTTGCCACACGATGGTACAGAGCACCAGAAATTATGCTAAATTGGATGCATTATAATCAGACAGGTGAGAATATTATTTTCAGTGTTTGTTTGTTAAGTTTTAAAAGATAATTCTGCAGGTGCATTATTTAAAATTTTAATACTGTCATATCCATACACATATTAGAAAATGAAAACCATGTTTTTATACTGACTGAGACAGCCTTGGCCCGAAATCAACTATAGAGCATAAGAAGAAGGATTTTATAGCATTTTTTTATGTTAGATAATTGTATTTTAATAAGCTACTGTAATATTAATAAGCTACTCTTTTAGAACTTCTTTCCTTACTTGAATATAACAAGAAATCACTGTTGCCAAAATATATATTTTTTAAGATGGCAAAAGTGAGCATTATATCTTTTGCTCTTTGTCCCTCCTTCCCCATCCATAAAGTTTGTATAATTTCAAATCTTATACTTCATTTTTACCTACATATGTATGATCCATTAGTTGAGAAAATATATTTCATTAAAAAATTTAAAACATTTATATGAGCGTGTACATCCATTTTAGTGACACCAATTCACTAAGTACCCACTTTTACCACTTTTGCACTAATTTGTAGGTAATGGTGTATTGTTAAATAAATAATGCGAAAAATTGCCTGCATTCTATTATAAGAAGATGTATATTTTGCACGTTTTCCCTTTTGCTACTTTCCTGTTATCTTAATGATGCCTCTTAACACTTGGGTGTGAGCAACTTACAAATCATTAAGACATGTAATGCTATTTAATCAATTTAATGAATATATATATATATTTACTTATTTACCTAAAACACTTTTGTTTGACTTTGAAACTCAGAATGGTACAAAGTGTGGCATTTTGCACTGCTAAAAGTTTCTTCTCCATTCGAATCATTGTCCAAATTTTCAAAAGAAATATCTCTATGGAATCATTTCCATTATCTTACAAAAGAGATTCAACTTCAGAATCAGATTCCTCCTTCAAAAAAATTGCTTTAGCTTTGTCTTTGATGACATTTCCAGCTATAATGCACATTTAAAATGAGCAATAAATATATACCAAGTAAATTTGATTAATTTATGACTTAGATAATCCTTTTTGTAATGCTAAAAATCATTGGATTAGTTCAAAGAATGAGCTCATTTCATCTATGAGCATTGGAGCAAAAATCTGACTTACGAGTAGGGCTCGTTTATTACCGTTTAGTTAAAAATTTATTTTTGAATAATTATGTAAATTTTTCATAAAACTCCTAGGAAGAAAATTTCTGTGTTTTTCTAATTAGACTACTGTTAGTGTATTTTATCATCATTTGTCTATTAATGTTTGTCCCATCCTGACATTAGCATGCATAGCTGCTGCTATTTTATGGCACAATCTATTATTAAGAATGGGAAATATGACGATGCATGTCTTTGAAAGTGATAAGTTACTTTGGGTTGAAACTAAGGTCCTGCTGCGTAAGCACATCAGCATTTGCTGCTGTTAATTGGATTTTTTTTCCTGGTTGCACGTGCTGAGTGGTCATCTAGGCCCCTGTAAATGATTTCCAAAGCAGCTGAAAATTCCATTCATTTTGATTTTGGTGCAATTACTGAATAATTTTAAATAGTATGGATTTAATTCTGTATAATCACTGTAGTGTTATTTCATTTTATTCCTGATTCTTAGTATGCAATATAAATGCTGGGCAGATTTAAATTATGTACAAGGAGTTTTGTCCTGTGAAATACCCTACCCCTTTTTTTTTTTTAACTGATTATAAATATAGATAATTTAATATAAACCCCACAAAAAATAATTTCCAAGACTGCAATACAATATTTAGTTTAATCTATTATTACATGTGCTTTGTAATTTTTTGAACCATTTTGACAATGATACATTCTGCAAAAGAAGAAGAGGTTGTTGCATCAAGAAGAGTTACTTTTTTGTTTTGTTTTGTTTTGTTTGTTTGTTTACATTAGCTATGTGTTAGTCATGTGATGTCTGAGCTCGTCTACTTTTGTTTATTGCTGTACGTCTACTTTTGTTTATTGCTGTACGTGTAAGTCGTGATCTTTGAGGTCATTGGAATATACCTCATTCTAAATGAGTCTTTCTGTGCTGTAAAATTAAACAAAATTTATGGCACTATTTATTATGTTTGTGAAAGCAATTAAACATTTATTCATAACATATGGTAAGTCTTTTCTTTTTACATTTAAAGATTAGAAACAGCTTTCTCTTATTGTATATATTTTTGAATGATTTTATGCCATTTTTTTTAGAAACATATGAGTAAATGTAAGATGTTATCACCCATCATGTTCATGATAAGACTGGCTGATAATTCATTAAGATTAATAACATACCATTATTTTTATCTATTTTATTTTTCCAAAAATTAAATGTGCATTACATGAACATAGTTCTTTTTTTTTTTTTAACTGAAATATAAAAATTTTGTAATTAGCAGCATATTATCATGAGAACTTAAAGCTAGATATTATTATTTTTGTTGCCAGCAGGAATGTATTTCAAAATACAATTACCTAATTTTAGACTTTATAAGCCTTTTTAATTCATATAAAAAATTTGAATATGAAATAATATTTTCATTTGTTTTAAAGATAAGAAATATTTGTTTGCAGTAATAAACTTAATTAACTGTTAAAGGATATCTGATGAATTGTAGTCACTTCTTTATCTCGTGATATAATAAATAGCAGATGATTATTTTTTTATCTTTTATTATATTAAAGTCATAAATATTTCAGTTGATATATGGTCTGTGGGATGCATCATGGCCGAGTTGTTAACATCAAAAACATTGTTTCCCGGAACTGATCGTATCCTTTTCTTATATTGCGTATACATAATGTTACTAATCTATATTCAGTGTGAGTGTGATTTTATTAAAGTCTAATTAGATGATTTTTTAAAAATGATATATGTTACTTTATATTTTTTTATATAACATAAAATCATTTTCCAGCTTAGTGTTATCCAGACCTTAATTGATTCAGTTGTGTCAGCATTTCTCAAACTTTTTTCAAGGTGGAAAACACTTGTGCACCTAACTTTTTTTTTTCCCTTTGGAAGCAATTTTTTAGCTACCAGCATATTTATATTTTCAAAATAAGTTTATCAAAATTTATTTAATTTTATATTGGTATTAGATAATTAAGTTAACAGAAGAAAATTTATACTCATTTTAATAACTGAAGGTTATTATAGTTTGAATAATCTTTTGAACTAAAAATTAAACAAATATTAGTATTCTTATTAACCTCTTCGTCGTCCGTCTAACGCGTTCAGGTGAAACTTCCGCAGGGTGGCTGTAATGCGCCTCAAGCGTTCTGCTGCATTGTACCTCCTAGAGGGTAGCACTAATCAGGCATTCTAATTTTAATTGAATTTGCCCCGGGTTTTATGAAAATTCACTCCATTTTACATAAGATACAAGACACTGAGAGATGGCTTCAACGTCTACTCAGCAGAAAAAGAGAAAAAATGTGGTTGTGAATTGGAAAGACAAGAAGGATATACGTTTAATGAGTACAGTCCATAATAACTTGATGATTGATGTTGGAACATGGAAAAGAACTGTAAAAAGCCAATAATTGTAAAAGATTACAACAACAAGATGGGAGGAGTGGACCGCCTGGATCAGATGTTATCAAATTATCCTGCTTTTAGAAATAAGCAGAGATATTATTATTCTTCCATTATGCTTTTTTTGTTATAATTTTACTTAATATTCATTGACATTCATCCACTACGAAAGTTATGTATCGGAAATTATGATGTACAGAGAAAACAACATTACACGCTACGAAAAACAGACGGCCGCTGGGGGGAAATTTTCGTGGACAGGAGAGGACGCCAAAAGGGTTAATGAGATGGATTTAGCCTACCAGTTCTTGTACAGCTGTTCTATGTTTGGATGTATGCCCATAAGCTTAAATCTGAGATTGACCTGTACATCAGTTTGATTTATTTACTTTGTTTTTATTTCAATCAGCTTTTGTTTATAAAATCTCAACCTTGGATTAAAAAGTGGTAGACAATTACCATGTGTATTTTCCAAATTTTAAGCTTTTTATTTATTGTTTAATATATGCAGTTAATATGAATTTCAGTCTTTTTTTTGGGGGGGGGAGAATTTAGAAAGACTCCAAGGACAGGTTTCAAGGACCATAGATCAAGAAACGCTGAATTATGTCATTAGTTATGTTTTAGTCTGATGTTCAATAATTGATGTTAGAAATATAATAAAATGCTCCTTAAAATATGTTACTTTACATTTTTTACATGCATAATTTTTCATATTGCTTTAAATCATGTCATTCTTTCCTTCCATTTTACTCTTGCTGTAGATCAATTGATTCAAATTGTGTTTAATTTTTTTTTTTAATTAGACATTTTTTAGAAATAATAGTTACTTCATTATAAGCAAAATTTTTCATATTATTTAAAATCATTTTGCTCCTTACCAATATCAGACCTCGATCAATTGATTCAAATTATGTCTTTAGTTGGCACACCAGATGATGATTTACTTTTAAAGATAATGACTAAAGAGGTATACTTTGATGAATTTTACCTAAATTTGAAAGTAATAATATAGCTAGTGCTCATTATAATGACTTCTGTGCTCCTATGAGGGCTGTAATTAGGAATTGCAATACTGAGAAAATAATTTTCCAGTAAATCAAAAAAAAAAAAAAAAAATACCTAAAATTTTTACCACTAAATTGACATTATTTTACTAATAATTAAGTCTGTAACATATTTCTCTCTAAATGATGGGAATTACACTCATGTCCATAAATTAAGGATAATTCGGAGTCACACGGAAAATCGAACTCTAAAATAAATATATCACCTGTGAAATCACTACACACATCTTCAAGAATCATATGTAAATTTCAGGAAGTAACCAGATGACACGGATGGTACGTCACAATGACGAGAGTGTAAGAGAGTGACATATAAGGAATACAGGCAAAGAAGTAAAATTGTTCGCAGACGCTTTATAAGCATTTCAGTGCAATAACCGAACAATATGACACAAAGGACGCATTTGGATGATTTTTTATGTGGTAAAATTATCGGCCGTCTGGAATGTGGGCGTACTCAACTGGAAGTATCAGACGAACTTGGAGTTGCCCAGAGTATCATCTCCAGGCTTTGGCAACGATTCCAAGATGATGGTAATGTGAGCAGACGTTACAGCACAGGTCACCCCAGAGTTACCACGCTGAATGAGGACCGGTATTTGGCAGTTAAAAAAAACAGGCGGAGCACAGCCTTAGACCCGTCTCGTCAGCTCTCTTCAGCCACTGGTGCGACAATTTCAAGGCAGACCATGTACAGACGCTTAGGGCAGATTGGTCTATATGCTCGTAGACCTGTCAGATGCGTTCCACTTACTGCAACTCACTGTCGCCTGTGGTTAGCCTGGAGTAGAGAGCATGCATTGTGGATACCACAACAGTGGGCTTGTGTGATGTTTTCCGACGAGTCCAGGTTTAGCTTGCAGTCTGATTCTCACCGGACTTTCATATGGAGAGCTCCAGGTACCCGTTACCACCAAGAAAACATCATTGAACAACACCGTTACGGTGGTGCAGGAGTGCTCATTTGGGGTGGAATTATTCTGGGTTCCAGAACTGACCTGCATGTTCAAATTGGAACCATGACAAGCCAAATCTATCGGGATGTCATTCTGGAACAACATGTACGTTTGTTTCGTGCGCCATGGGCGCACAATTTGTGTTTATGGATGACAACGCCCGTCCTCACCGTGCAAACATCGTAAGCGAATGCCTTTAATTGGAAGATATCACCCATATGGACTGGCCAGCATTCTCAATAGACTTGAAACCACTAGAGCACGTGTGGGACATGCTTGACCGACGAGTTGCAGCCCGGCAACCTCCTCCTACATGTCTACCGGAACTTCGGAGAGCATTGCTTTTTGAGTAGTGTAATATTCCCCCAGATCAAATCGATAATTTGATACTCAGCATGCCTAGGCATTGTACGGACTGTATTGCATCGTCTGGGAGACATACAATGTATTAGCAATCATACCAACCATGTAATATTGGTTTTTTGTGAATAGGTTTTTTTTTTTTTTTTATAATTTGCTCCATGGAGAAAAAATCGCTAATTTTTTTAATAATATCAAACATATAGCATCTTTTTTCTCTTTACCTTTTGTTTAATAAATAAGCTTTACAAATAAAGTCAAATTTGTTTTGCTTCTAACTCTTCCTTTGCCTGATTTTGCATTATCCTTAATTTATGGACATGAGTGTATTTACATCAGTTTCTTTCTTTGATAGCAGTGCACTATTTTTCTGTTTGCTGCCTTCTAACATGAAAAAGGTATATATCGGTTATTGTGCGGGCACACGTCCATTGGGTACATGTCAGTTATCTCAGTTCACCTTTTTGCCAACAGTTATTTTTTTTCTTTTCGTGTAGTAAATCATTGAAAGTAATCACCAAAGACACAAATAAATAACAATGCAGTTCAGAAAACTCAAATATATTCCAAAAGAGTTGCATACTTTACAAAAGATAAAATATATACATATAAAAGCTTGTAAAAGTTATATTTTTGCTATTGCATGTGGTTATAAAAAATGGAAACTCTATGGTATTATCTGAATGAATTGTCGATGACATTCATCACTTTCTTTTTAATATTTGAGAACAGTTCTGCAAGTACTTGAATGGAAGTAATTAAAGATAGCATGCCCAAGAGCTCAGTAATAATTGTCAATTTTTGTAAGAGATATTCTGAACAATAGTATGTAAAGGTTATGAAAATATCATTGTAAATGTTTTGCTGGCAAAAGAATTCTCAATACGAGAAAATTCTCACCAAGAAGTTGTAAGCTGGTTTAGCTATGGAACATTGTCCAAAGGTGCATGTTAAGCTGGTTTTAAGAATAATTTCAAAAAAAGGAAGCATGGTTCAAAATTGCTAGCATAACGATATGATTCTTCTCCCCCCCTTTTTTTTTGCTAAATTCATTTACTCTTAATTAATAATATATATGTATGGAATTAAAATAATATGATGTTCATAAAGTATGCTAATATTAATGCCTTTGTCCCACATTTGAATACAATGAAGTAATTGCATATGTGTATATTTTGCTTTAAGCTATTTTTATATAACCTTAATAGTGCATTAGATATTGACCAGTTAACACGCATCATGGTTTTGTGTGGTAAACCTGATGAAGAATTCCTAAACAAAATTAATAGTGAAGAGGTGAGTATATATGTTTATGTAATTATAAAAAGAAGCCGAACTGATTTTGAAAGAATAAAGAATGATCTAAAATTTCTGCAGTACTGGATCTCACTAAGTTAAATGCAACTCTTTCAAATGCAATCTGCTGTGCCAACTCTTTCAAATGCAAATGAAGGCCATGCTCTGTTCACTCGCACAGTGGGATACACTGCTAAATTAAATGATTTAAAATTTCTGCAGTACTGGATCTCACTAACTTAAATGCAAATGAAGGCCATGCTCTGTTCACTCGCGCAGTGGGATACACTGCTGTAGGACATCCCATAAGTAATTTTTAAGTAGATTTTAAAGGAATAAGCAACATTCTGATTTGCTCAGTCACATAATCCCCACTTGAGTTTACATCATTCTTCCTATGCAGGTTTTTTTATACCATTCTTAAAGAAATTATTCACTTTTTAGATAAAGTTTTAAAGTCCATTTCAAATATCTCATAAGAATCATATTTTTTCCTTCGGTGAAGTTTTGCAGGGTTCGAACCACAGCATAGCTTTTATCACCATTGACTAGATGTTTCAAAAGCAGTGCTGATGTTTGCACATTTTCTGTGATTAGCATTTGTAAGTTCATTTAGAACCTATTTGTCAAGCTTCTTCTAAATTTCATTGATGATGCATTAATCTGCTGTGCCAACTCTTCAACAGTTCCATGTAACTCGTACGTTCTTTTTAGTTTCAGCTTTCATCATATTATCAGAAAAGATATGGTACCCACAGCAGCTGGCATCTTTCAAGTTAAGGTCATTTTGTCAAAATTTACCTAACCATCATTGACATTTGCACATATTAGAATACTTTTATGATTCATTTCTTCTGCACTTTTGATTGTATTTGCTGTACTAGTTTCTTTTTATACTTATAAAGCATGGCATGTCTTATGTTCTCTTCTGTAATTCGCTTTGATAATTGTTGTGAAAGTTGCTTTTTTGATTTTGTCAGAATATGTTTTAACAAATCCTTTCTGAAAAAAACAACTTTATTTAAATGGAGCCAAGCCAATCTAAAATATGGCCTGATAACTTCTTAGGTTAGAATAAATACTTGATACATTATCAGCATTGCTATATAAACCAGCTGGAACAGTTCTTAAATGTCTAGTCTATGTAGGGGGGAAAAAATGAAATAGAATCAGCAAGCAAGTTTTTTTAGAACTCATGTTCAGGATTGCCTTCTTTATTTACATGCCCTACATCATATAACCATGTGATGTCAAGAGTGTAGTCTACAGTAATGGAAAAATACTTTTGAGTATTTTACCTTCTGAAGAAAGGTAAAATTAGCATTCAGCCAAACAAGGTGTGTTAACCCCTTAACTGTCACAGAAAACATACAAGATTCACTCCCCATGCCACCATTTTTTTTACACAGTCCGACATAGTTATGCTTGTATTAGGAGCAAAATAAGTGCAAGTTTTACTGTCTAAAAACTGTTTACTTTCACAAAATAAAGAATAAAAGGAAAAAAAAGAAAATACAAAGTTTAGAGTCAAAGTATAATAAATAAAAAAAAAAAAAAAACCACCTAAAATGGAGTTTTTGATCAATTTATTTTTAGACCAGTAAAGTGCAATATCAGGTTTCAGTGTTATACCTTGTAAAATCAGTATACCTAAATAGAAAGTGTGCAGGTGGCATAGGCAAGTTTTTCATATCAAGTCATACCCAACATCGAGCATTTTTCAGAGAATAGTCGCAATCCTTTTATCTGACGTAATATAATATTCTGAGGTATCCGATCCTGAAGATGATGGAAAGTAATCATCTATTTCACTGTCATACATATTTGTAAAAAAAAAAAAGCATCTATTACACATAATAAACAAAAGCAGAAGACACAATAAAAAAAAAGGGTTGCCACATTACCTGGAAAACCGGAAAAAGGCGGAAAATTCAAAAATTGACCAAAAAATTCAGGAAATTTAAATATTTTGGTCAAAATCTGGAAAAGGTCAGGGAATATCATACGGCGATCCCCCCCCCCAAAAAAAGTGAATTTTGCATCAACATTGGAAGTGATCACTTTCTCGACTGCGTAAGTGTCATTCGGGCAGCTAGCATTAAGCCAATTTTCGCATCTCCAATTAGATTGTCTTTTAGAAAGGCTTCCAGCAGCTTTGCTTTCCAGTAACCTCAAGAATCGCATGTGCATGTGCAGTGCATGTTGAACTAAACAAAATACTTATTCTCTTATAAAACAAAATCAGTTTAATCCTAGTATACAGTGCCTTCATGGTGTAGTGGTTCTGCATGCTAGGCCGATATTCCAGAGGTCCTCAGTTTGATTCCCGGCGAAGGGGATTGCTAATTTTTAAATTGTCTGATACTACAGTCTTCCTTCATCTTGGTATTTCTGTCCTTCTCCTTTACTTCGTTTTCTCTTCTGAGATCACTTCCACGTCCAGAATTTATTATGTCATAGAGCTTGAATTCATGAACCGGTAACGTTGCTTTTCGCAATAGTTGGGTATAATATCGAGTCCAAGTGTTAGTATATGGTACTATGGAGGTCAGAAACAAAGAATATGTATTGTTAAGAAGGAAAACTTTTCTGCAACGGGAGCGTCTTCATTCCAATGTAGAGGGAAACAACTGTGCGCGAAATATCTGTCGTCAAAGCTCGAAGCCCATGTCGAAGTTCAAAGGTCACGTTATCAAGAGTTCATAAAATTAATATCGTTTAAAATTTCTTTAAACTTTAAAGGAAAAGAAAATATTTTTTCGTGCAAGTAAATTAATTAATGGATTAGTTATTTTGAGCAAGGGGGGAAACCACTCTGCAAAAAAACGTGTTTAAATTAGTGCAAAAAGTCAAAGAAAAAACGTTTTGTTAAAGAACGTTTCTTAACACGAGTTCCTCAATTTTCTGTACACATCGCGGAGAGGGAAGTTCTGGCCGCCAAGTTCTGTTGCCAAATCCTTTGGCAAATTTTCCCTCTTTTGGTGTACTAGCATTTCGTCTATGGAACCTTTCCTTCTCTACATAGACATTCTTTGGTTAGAATAACCTCCATGTATTCTCTTCTAACCTCCATGTACGGTACACGGAATTTGAGGACATGATGATGAGCAGTAAACAGGTCATTTTGGTGTTGGCGACAGTTTTCAAAATCGTGCCAAGGCCTTACCGAATACTAGAATTTTACCCCCAAAATCTTTTAAACTTTTTTTTTTTTTTTTTTTTTTTTTTTTTTTAATAAATGCCTTATTTATCATTTTGCAGTAAAATAAAAAAAAAATAGTAATCGGTCTAACCATTTAATATAATTATATTTGCTAAAATATCATTGATTATTCTAATTCAATTTTGAAGTAATTATCTTTATTTTTATGTTATTCGTATCATTTAATGTTGCTTCTTCCCTCTAAATTTATTTATTGAAACCAAAGAAATTAAGTTTATGAAAGTTTCTATAAACGAGCCTAATTTTCTATTTTATTGCATTTTTCATTTATTTCGGTTCCCCCCATAGGGCCCTTGACATGCCTCCCCTCTCCTATAAGCTTTGAAGCTTTAATTTAGTAATTAAACCAGTGGGTCAGAGGAAGGCCCTGGATTTGATGGTTTAGACTCTATCTGTAGTAATTTATTATGAACTGGAAAACTATAGCTGAGATGGAGAGCGGAGTGGAAGAAGGCTGTAAGGAAGATCATGGCCATCTTGGGCTGCCATGCCGATAGAAAAAGGAAGAATCACTAAATGACTGTGATTTTACAGATGTGGTTTTTATGTATATGTATGTAATATTTTGGTTGGCAGGCGCCGGAATGTCAAAGCTTGATGATATAATTACATCAGAATCCGGGCATTGTTGTGGCTGAGTGTATGGGGGCATCCAATGACGACAAAGTAGAAGTTAGCTGTTTTGATTCCACTCACCACTGATCATTTTTACTTTAAATGAAATTCTCCAAGATTACATATGCATGATAACTATTCAAAGAAAGAAAAAATGGGAACGAGGAGCAGCGAAGTGTTATAGTAGCAAGCAGAGAAAGCAGTCTGACGAAAAGTGGCGCAAACTCTGTATTTATACTAGTTGTTATGTAACATGCCAGAATGTTCTCTGTGCTGGCCTAGGGAAAGATCCTAAAATTGCAGAAAGTTAATTATAGGTTTTCTGTTCGTGCAGAGCAAAACCATTGTATTTTTTATATTTTACATATATATTGTTTCTGATCCTTCAGTCTCTTACATTTCGATAAGGTCCATGAATTTTTTCATAGCCGAAAGGCAAGGATTGCTCATATTGGTTACTTAAAAATTAAACTGTGTTGTTAAAAACCTTGGAAACCTTGTAAGGAGCAGTATGACTCTGCCCAGCTTCATCCCAATTTCGATAGATAATTTATGGGGGAGGGAGGTCTTAGAGTTTCCCACTTTTACCTTAGCAGGGTTTCTTAAACTTTCTGGTGTGGGGAGCCTATGCACATTATGCAAATCCAACATACGCGTGAGTGAAACTGCCAGTTTCTTCACTTGTACTATAATATACTATTGCAGTTTTATATCATTAACTTTAATTTTTACTATTAAGACATAAAACAATGTGAAAATTTTAAATAAGTAACAAACTTAAAAATATAATACAATAATAAGAATAAATTCAATTACTTGGGGAAATTCAAACATTAACTATAGTCTGTCCATTAAATGAAGCCACGTAGAAGGCTACTACTGAGAAAGCTCACTTTTTTCTAACAGCACATATGCAAGGATTAAGTATCTATTGGATGGGTGTGTCTGTATAATTTTAATTATATTATCAAATCTTGGCAAAATAGTCTTCACCGCAGGACGAAGCACTTCTTCAATATTCTTTTCATTTGATCCACATACTGATTTTATGGCGGTTAAAGATGAAAATGTCTCACACAAATATGTTGTAGGAAAAGGTAAAAGAAAGTTTATGGCAGTTTCTGAAATCGTTGAAAATTCTTTTGGAACTGCTAGCCAAAAATCTTCTAAGGACTTCATATTAAAATTCCCTTTCAACCCCGAATCATTTGATAACTTGGTAAATTCTTCTTGTGATTTTAATGGCAAATGAATAATATTTTTCACGTTAATTCAGAATGGTTTCACAATCCATTTTAGTTCTTTGGCACTAAGATTTGAAAGGAAAAGGGAAATATTTCTCGAAGTTTCTCCCAAGACACCGAAGATGTTCATATATCACTTATAACAAGTCATCTTTTTGATGATATGTTTCATCATTTTCACTTAAGAGTTCACTTGTTGTGACAAACGTTTCTAATGAATCCTTTTTCCAGCATGGTTCTCCATGTGGTAATTTTCTTAATAAAAGCGTAAGTTTTTGATTTGAATATGAATATGTTGCAATGTTGTCCTTGAAGTGACAAATTTAGTTCATTTAGTTTTTCAAATATGTCACTCGTAATATAGTTTTGTAGCTGCAACTTATTATGGAATAAATTTTGCAAAAATCTGATCATAATGACAAAGATCTGAGAACTTCATCTTTTAAATTTTAATAATCTTTTTAACATGTGGCTTATTGAAAGCCACCATACCTCAGCATGTAATAATAAGCTTTTGTATTCAGAAGCAATGTCTTTAGAGAGATTTGGAAACAAACTACTTTTAATATGACTTTGTTCAGAGCACAACTTTTACTAAAGTTGACCACTTTAACACCTATCTCGAAGCACAACATCTGACTCATCTGGTGACTGATAATTTCTTGGCCACCAGGGCCTTTCAATGTATCATAAACAATGAGTAAAAGTTATATGTTTGTTACTACTATCCTTAACTTTGGCTAGAAATGCAATTTTTTCAGCAAGCATCGCTTAAACTATGTGTGTCCAAGTGCCGGCACAATTTTTCTATTGCAAACTTTCTGCAGTAAAAAATTCATCAACTTTTACAAAAATGTCCTCTCCTCTTGTGTATTCACCCAAAGAGTGATAAAACAAAAATTTTTCATAATACATCCTTCAAAAATAAATCTAACATGTGCTAATAATTGAGCCAAGTTGGTAATATCAGTTGATTCATCTAAGTGGATTGCAAACTTGGGACTCATTTTGAGCCTAGTTATTAACCCCTTAACTGCCGTGGACATGTATATATACCTTGCTCAGCCGATGCGTTAACTGCTGCGGGCGTATATATATGCCCTTCCAAACTAGTATCATTTGCTTTGCGCTGCTACCCGTAAAATTATTCGCAAAGCTTTGGAATGCAACACCACAAGGACCTTGACAAAGTATGCGAAGGAGGATACTATTTCAGAGAAGTGTGGGGAGAAATTGGAGAGAGGGTTGTGTCTAAAGCAGTGAAAGTAATGACTGTGCGTATTGGCTGGTGTTTTTTGAGTAAAACTTTTTTTTTTATTCTGTGTTCTCCGTTTTCGTTTACATTTGTAGTAGGTTGCAGGAATAAAAAAATATATAATGGATGTTTCAAACCCATTTATCTTTTTTTGAATTATTTTTTGATAAACTGCTCGTGCTTCATATTGTTATTGAAACTAACTGTTTTGTAAACGAGTATATGAATCAACACCTTACAAACGAAAAATCAAGAATAAAATCGTGGCATTTAACCAGTTCAGAAGAAATGTATGTTTTTTTAGGCATACTGATTTCACAAGGAATAACACTGAAACCCGATACAGTCAAAAGTCGTTAATCCGGACTCGTCAGGACTTTGGTGATTCCGGATTATAGATCATCAGTTTAAATCTGGTAAGATGGCATGCAGAAATTATAAAATTAAAAATATGAACCCGTAATTTATGAAATAAAGAACAATTATGACCTAAAGGGTATCAAAATTTACAAAAAAAAAAAAAAAAAAAAAAAAAAAGCTTAATATTTATTTGTTTACTTTATTAAACATTCCTTTCAATGTAAATTGTTTAAGTTTCTTCGTTTTTTATGTGATAATACTTTCTCTTTAATTCTATAAACAGACATAATTTCTTGTTCAGTTACAAAGTTCCGCTGTTCAAGTCCTATAATTGCTGTGTCGAGAATACCAAGTAATTTGTCAATCGAAATTTTTTTGTTTTGAAAAACCTCTGTGTCACTTTCTTCGTTATCGGAAGCGAATTATAACGACGAGGAATTTGATTTAAATCATATCAAAGACGGAGTACATCGAGATGAAATACTACATTTAGTAAGGAATTATAAGCCAAATAAAATAAAAACATCTGCCCTGAAGATAAGGATAGTGCTGACAGATCAACTTCCTATTAAGTGCGAAATTTTTTCGTTTTCAATAACCTCTATGTCACTTTCTTCGTTATCGGAAGCGAATTATAATGACGAGGAATTTGATTTAAATCATATCAAAGACGTAGTACATCGAGATGAAATACTACATTTAGTAAGGAATTATAAGCCAAATAAAATAAAAACATCTGCCCTGAAGATAAGGATAGTGCTGACAGATCAACTTCCAATTAATTAATTTCAAAAGTCATTCACTGTATTCTTTGGGATTCTTCCCTGTGCAGTATGCATTGTATCGAGATGCTGCATTAATTTGTCATGTTTCATGCTTTCTGTAGGCAAAACTTCTTTACAGATTTAGCATAATGTCTTTTAAATTCCATCATTACATGAAGTAAAACCAAATTTCAAATGTGATTCATCATATTTTCATTTCTTTGGTATTTTAACTGCTCTCATGCTAGGTACTGGAGATGACTCATTGTTTTCAGTTTTTTATCTCATTTACCTAAATTCAACCTAATTCATGAAAATATTTTATAATAATTATTGTTGAGAAAACAAAGGGGGCTTGTTTAAAATAGATAATAACTGATAAAATTACTGCTGATGAAATGAACAAAACAATGATCGCGAAAGAGACAGAATATTTGTTTCATCAGGACAGTAGCGCCATATATATATATATATATATTTGAAGTGAAGAGGCATCAAAACAATCCACATACAATGGCTGACCTTCTGACTTTGGAGAGACGGCTGAACACGATGGTTGAAATCAAAGATGGCCCAGCACATGTGTGTTACCAGAACACTCAGATCTTGCAAAATCAGGACCTTTTACAAATTGACAGCATCACGTGCAAAGCAAATAAAATGCACGTTTCTGTTATAAAAACTGTGTCAAAATGTTTTCATTTTTTCTTTGTCTGTATTGTCTTATCTTTATCTATTTTCAGATGCATTGTGTAAAAATAATTGGTAATTGCAAAGTTATTATAATTTATCAAAATTGCTAAAATTTTTGGCAAACCCTGCTGCAGGTCTCATGACCCCAATTTGGGCAGCGACCCATAGTTTAGGAAACCCGTGCTCTAGAAGATTTGGCTCCTTCACAATTTTTTAAGTGCCCCTATGTGGCAAGAATCCTATATCCTAACAAACATCTGAAAAAATTTCCAGGATTCATATCTAGACCCAAGACTTATTAGCTGTTTTCCTTGCCACCATATCTACAAAGTGGCATTTTTATTGTAGTAATGTATACATCCAAAAATCTCGCTTATAAAATTAAGCATCACACAGTAGAAAGTAATTTCTAGTTTCCTGTTTAATGCTGCATGTGAATGAAAATGGAAAAGTTATACTAGCATACTTGTAGTTAATTCTTGTGTCATGTGGCTAATACTACTATAAACGTTTTTCTTCATTTGGCAAAATGTCTTTTTTTATATAGAGAGAGAGAAAGTGATATATTGCAGTATCAATCACCATATGCTAATGAATCAGAACATTGATTGGTTAGCATATATTTCAAGATGCCAGTTTTTGAAATGGTACTGTCTAACTTTGTTTTGAGCTGCTGTTGTCAGTTATGAAAGAGCAAATTAACTTGCAATCAACTAAGTAATCTGGCAGAAATATTAATTAATATTTAATATATTTAAATAATACTATGACTTAAAAAGTTTTGTTTGTATGTTTTTTAGTCTTTTGTAAGAATTTTTAATTAATTTTGATTTCATGTATGTATTTTGCAAAAAATATACGAGCAATTTAATTAAAGAGTGATATTTTGAAAAAGGAAACTCAGTTTAATTTATTTATATAAGACATAAATTAAATAATTATTGTTTGTAATTTTAAATGGCAAATAACATTTTATAAAAAAACTTTAAAAAAAATGGGGAAAGTGTAATTTTTATTCCTTTTTAGGCACGAAACTACATACGTTCATTGCCAGTAATGAAGAAAAGGAATTTTAGAGATGTATTTAGCGGTGCTCATCCTGATGGTAATCATACATAATAAAATTGTCTCAAACCCTTTTTATGTCTACTGTGTTCAGAACTTCAAATTATTCAAATGATACTTTCCTAAGCCAAGTAAACTTCAACTTGCTTTAAATTTTTGTTGGTTGAAATTCCAGTTATCTGAATCATACAGGGTTCGTAGCGGTCCTTACAAGTGCTTATAAGTCCTTATATTTGAAAATAAAATATAAAGGCCCTTATAGGTGCTTACTTTTTCTTTAGAGCCCTTATTTTTTTTTTTTTTTTTTTTTTTTTTTTTGTTTTTAGTGCTTATTTTTTGCTTTTAGTGCTTCTTTTAATACTTTGTTTTTAATGAACGCGCATTTTCCCCCGTACCAAAGCCGAAACTAAATAAACAACTTTTCTTCCATATATGCAACGTCAGATGGTGAATCATACTCCCGGAAATTGCTTTTCCCCCCCTTCCTCTGCATTAACGTAACCTATGGTGTGCGCGAGAATACAGACAGGTGCACGTCGTTTTATTGGCCAAAGAATTGCGAAAACGGTAGAAAATTCCGGTACATTCGGTATTCTTTTCCTCCCACCCAGATACTACAGGCGCAGCCCGCGCAAAGCCATTGAACCCTGGTAGTTAAGTCTATCTTTCAAATACTTGTGAAAGGGTTGTCTGCATGGGTGTTTTCGTGATTTTATGCATGTGTATCATGTATGCAGCATTTTCTGGATGCATACGTGAATAAAGCGGGCGCAGCCCGCACAAATCCTCTTAACACTGGTAGTTCGGTGCAACTTTCGAATCCTGGCGAGCGGGTTGGCTGCATGTGTGTTATCGTGATTTTACGCATATGTAATATTCATGCAGTATCTTCTGGATACATACAGTGTCTCACAAAAGTGATGGGACACTCGTGCTTTACAAAAGGAAACTGTAATAAAATTAATTAAAAAAAATGTAAAAATTTTTTGTGGGTGTGTTTCATACTTAAATTTAGTAACAATTATTACATAACATACATTTTCTCAAAATATTAATTTAATAAAAATACAATTGTTTAGAACAGATCAAAAAATGGCTCACATAAGTGATGGGACACCATTAGATACTACTACGTACTACAATAAAATATTATTTTTTTTTTTTTTTTTTTTTTATTTTTACTCAGAAGCAATTGGCAATAATTTATAAAATCGTCTGCAGTATTTCTGCCCAGTTTGTTTTGGAATTTTTGTGTTTTTTAGCTCTGTGCAGCCATGAATGCTAAACGAAAAGAAACTTTGCCTGAAATTCGAAAATTAGTTATTAATTTGCATATTGAACGTGGAAAATCTGTTAGAGAAGCTGCTGAAACAGTTAACTTGAGTCATTCAACAGTTTTCAATATCATTAAACAATATAAAAAGAATCATATGATTCAGGATAAAAGAAGACCATCAAAGCTATCTAATGGAATAAAGCGAATTATCGTTCGAATTATTAAAAAAAAATCTAAGAATGAGTGCTCCTAAAGTTACTGCTGATTTACAAGCATTATATGGAGTAATTGTTAATCCTGAGACTATTAGAAGAGTAATTCGATCTGCTGGATATCACAGTAGAGTAGCCAGGAAAAAATTCTTCTTACGTGAAAAGAATAGAAACCTCAGACTGGCTTTCGCAAAATCCAACATAAATAAGGATTCTGATTACTAGAATGAAGTTATATTTGCTGATGAGAGTAAATTTAATATATTTGGTTCTGGCTGTAGAATCTTGGTGTGAAGAAAACCCAGGGAAGAATTTCGCAAACAGAACTTGGTGCCAACAGTAAAACATGGTGGAGGAGGAGTTATGGTATGGGGGTGTATGTCGTCCGCTGGAGTTGGTAATCTTGGTTTTATTGACAGTGTAATGGATCAGTACAAGTATATTGACATTTTAAATCAAAATTTGAAATCTTCAGAACGAAAATTGAACTTTCATAACGATTTTAAATTCTACCAAGGCAATGACCCCAAGCACACTGCTTTGAATGTTAGACTCTGGCTGCTGTATAACTGTCCTGAAATAATAAAAACACCACCACAATCTCCAGACTTAAATACCATAGAGAATATTTGGCAAGAATTGGAATCAAGAATTCGCAATGACACCATTTCTTCAAAACAACAATTAAAATCAGTGCTTCAAGAAGAATGGGGTAAAGTCACTCCAAAAATCACAAAAAAATTAGTCGAATCCGTCCCAAGAAGATTAAATCATGTTTTAAAAGTAAAAGGAAATTCAACAAAATATAAAAACCTTTTAAAAATTAAAATTTTTGGATAAATATTTGATGGAAAAGTAAGTGTCCCATCACTTATGTGAGCCATTTTGGCTCCGTTCTAAACAATTGTATTTTTATTAAATTAATATTTTAATATTTTGAGAAAATGTATGTTATGTAATAATTGTTACTAAATTTAAGTATGAAACACACCCACAAAAAATTTTTACATGTTTTTTAAATTTATTTTACTATAGTTTCCTCTTGTAAAACACAACTGTCCCATAACTTTTGTGAGACACTGTACGTTAGTAACGCTGTAAGGTAAAATCGCTGTACACTGGTAGTGTCGGTCCAACTTTCGAATATAGCCGAAATTTAACATGGGAACTCATTAAAATTGAACAATGAAAAGCGGGCTTCAGCTCGCTAGTAATAATATAGTTGCAGTAACTGCTGAAGTATAGATAAACTTCCAAAAATGGGTGTGTTTTTACACAGATTAGCTTTCTAAGGAATAATGTTCGGAATGGCTTAAATAAAAGGAAAGTAATCGAATAGTCAAAATAATTTCATTTTCTTTGCCAATACATTATACAGTACGGAGGTTGGGAGTTTCTCCGCAAAATCTCTAATATTGAAGCAGCAGACTTTTTTTTGTCACTGTCCAATCTGGATTGAATAGGACTAAAAAGTTTTTGCGGTCTACCCAACCCAAGCGAAGATTGATTCTATTCCGGAAATTTAATACAGTGTGTTTGAAAATTAGAATCAGAAACACCCCAGATTAGTAAGTTTCTTTCTTTTCCTTTATTTAGTTTTTTATTCTCCGAATACCAGCAGGTGTTGATTCCGATTGCGTAATATCACATATGGAAGAATTACGCCGCACGTATTGCGCAATAACGTTTGCGGTATTTTGCATTGATAATTAATTTTGATGTTCAGTCTGAGATTTGTTTATGAACACTTAAAAGAGTTTTACTGTGCTTTCTAAGCAGAATATTTCTCAGTTCCGTTTGTTTTTATATGATGCACATATCGAAATGTCAAAATCATTTATTTAGCCTAAATTTAAATCTAAAGAACGGCTACAATCTCCCCCACTCCTCTTTTTCCAGTTACTATTCGGAATATTCGGGAATTTCCGAGTATGCGGGTTAGTTAAGCTTTTACTGTTAAAGGATGACTGCATGAAGCAATTTCCCGTCTTCTGATTTCAGAAATGTGCCTCTTTTTTACTTAAATTACTTTGTTTGGGATATATGTTAAGGGAAAAACTGTTATGGAATGAAAATTTAGAAAATGTTCAGAATTTTGATTTAAGTTGAATTATTTAAATATTAATATGAGTGGAAGAATAAATTGTATTTATTATTAGGAGGTGCCAAACGAATACACTTAATATGGCTTATTATTATTTATTTTCTATATTTTCAGCTGAAATATCATCAGTAAATTTTGTAATATAGTTTAGTTCTGCATAGTTTTTTTTTTCTCTCATTGTAAACTAATTCTGTGTAAATTGAACTGTCATTTAAAATTTTAAAAAAAAAAAGTTAATTTTTTTCCCATTGTTGAGGTAATGCTCATTCTCCTAATAAATATTGCATTGCTCATATTTTAAATTACAAGTCTAATTTTTCTTTTAAGGTTATGCAGTTGTGTATAATGTAATTAGACAGGTGCTTATTTTTTCCTTAAAATGTGCTTGAAAAGTGCTTATAGGTGCTTATTTTTTTAACTAAAATGTGGCTATGAACCCTGATCATATCTTTCTAAATTAAGTAAGAAAAGATGTTCAAAATTTATTGTATTTGAATCGTAGATTCTTTCTAAATTATGTAAAACTAATTTTAAATTTCTTTATGCTCTTGAAACTCCATTTATCTGCACTTCTTTCTAAGCCAGTCAAATCTAAACTTGTGCTAAACTTATTTATGCCCAATGAAACTTCACTTATGTGAATCACTGTTTCTTTCCAAGCCTAATAAATCTAAATGTGTTCTAAATTTAATTATCCTAATTAGAACTCCAGTTATCTGAATCACTTCTTTCTAAATATGAAAGTATAAGGTAATATTTAAATTAAATGAGATAAGTATTTAAGTTTTTTAAAAGTAACTTACATTACATTAAATTTACAGTTTATATATATTCATTATATGTTACTTATTATTATAACTATTACAATTATACAACTATAACTATTATATATTACTTAGTGTATATAGAAACTTTGTGTATTGCTTAATATAAGTTAATAGCTTAACAGTATATGTTTAATTAAAAGTAAATGAATAAATATCTGCATAATTTCTAGCCATTAATTTGTTAGAGCGAATGTTAGAATTGGATGCCGACAAGCGACCCACCGCCACCGAAGCTTTAGCTCATCCCTACTTAGCTCAATATGCTGATCCGTCTGATGAACCCACGGCAGAGCCGTATGATGAGTCCTTTGAAGATAAAGATTTAACAGTTGCTGAATGGAGGCGTAAGTATTCAATTTTTTTTTTTTTTTTTTTTTTTAATGTTCATTTTATGTTGAATTCCCTTAGTTGTAGTCGATCACTTCTAACCCCTTCCATTCTTTCTTTTTTCCAACTTTTTAACTTGCTCAATTATTCTGATTAGGATTTAGTTGTGTATTATTCAAACTAATTCTGTTATGTATTTATTTTTTATTTTATTTATTTATATATTTTTTGTATTAATGGACTTTCTTTGTGTAAAGAGAGCAGTTGAAAGTCCAAAAGAAAATAGCACGAGGGAGAATTAAAAAAAATTAAAATTTTCTATCTGTGTGTTAAATATAAAACAGAACAATTTCAGAAGTCTTGATCCATTTTATTGCAGCCATCAAAGATTTATTTTCTGGCAAAAAAAATTAACCTTGCTGAGATTTAAAAAAAAAAAAAAAAAAAAAAAAAGCATTTCTTTGTTTGTGCAGTAAATGATTCTTGTTGGGATCAGAATTAAGAATTGATTTATTTGTAGAGGAAGGATAGTCAGTAATTTTATTTCATAATTCAAATATAGCAAGAATCAATATAAGGTTACTGGTCAATAAATCTAAAAAAACAGCACAATACTAGTGGGTCATCATTCAAGAAGTTCAGAAACATCACATAGCACGGAGATTGTAGAAGCAGTTGAGAAAAGCCCTAAATCTCTGTGAGCTGATTGTATTAAGCAGTGGTCTGGGGGTGGGCTTGCGGCTACATGTGGCCCAAGAAACAATTTTGTATGGCCTGTGAATACATTACAATGATGCTTTTTTTTTTTTTTTTTTTTTTTTTTTTTTTTTTTTTTTTTTTTAAATGCAGTTTTGTAAAGATTTCAGGATTTTAGTTATTTCAAGCATTATTTTTCTTACCATTAAAAACAAGCATGAGTAATACACAGAAAATCTATAAACAGAGCTGATTAATTTACACAGTGCTATAAATCTTATTCAAGGATTTGAAGATGCATTCATTAACTTTTATTCGTACATGCCCCCCCCCCCCCCCGGGAAAAAAAAACGCAAGATTGCCTATAAAATTTTTTGCTAAGAATAATTGTTTTCTTCGGGACTACATTTATATGTGGACAGTTTTTTTTTTTTTTTTTTTTAGCTAAGAATAATTGTTTTCTTCGGGACTACATTTATATGTGGACAGCTCTTTTTTTTTTTTTTTTTTTTTTTTTTTTGTATGGTTGAAAATTAATAAGAATTGAACACAATCAACCAATGAGTATCTACAATCTGAGATGAAGATAATTCTTAGTTATGTTTCTCCAAGACTGCAAACTTTATTCAAATAAAAATGCCATTGATTTTCAACTTGTAGTATGAAATGAAGTTAATTTATATACAAATATATGTATTTTTATTTAGGTATTGAAGAAAAATTTAATAAATAAGAGACAGACTAGGTTGTCATTATTATTGTGAAGTTTTTCTCCATTTGGTAAATTTTCTCTGAAAACTTACAATGTTTTCATAGTTTGTTAATTTTTATTTAAATTAGTGTAAGTTATTTAATGATTAATATAACATTTAGAATTATTTTCAATAAATATGTCTGAAAATTTAATATTTATTTATCAATATATTTGAATAACAAAGTATAACAAATATTTATTAAAATATACGTATAAATTATGTATATTTGAATAAATATTTAGTAAACAAAATTTAGAGTTTATATAAAATATTTTTATTTTGTTAATAAAAATTATGATTTTGTTTAAAAAAAGTGTTTAGCCCATCAGCCGTATTCAAACTGTTCATTCAGCCCACGTGCAATTTGAATTTGAGCCCCTGTAGTAATACTTTGCCATTTTTCATTTGAAGTTACATAAAAAAAGTATATTTCACCTTATTGTATGTTTTATTTTCATGGTTTTGGTTTAGCATGTGTTATATAAAATCTAAATTTACACCAGCATTTTATTTTTCCTGGTGGGGGGAACTGGGCTCGAGACAAATTAAGAATTCTCAATACTTATATGTTATCGCAACTACCTTAGAAATCACCAGATTTTCAGAATGTACAAAACTCTGCCCAACATTCTTCAGGCAACCTTACTCATAGTAATCCTTCATATAAACAATGTTGCCATTTTCAGATACGTTCTTTTTGCTGTATTCCAAATTCCACTTTTTTTATAAACAAATCATATTTTTTGCCATAAACTTAATTTTAAAGTATGTGTTTGCGGAATATGCCAACAATGGAAAAAACTGTATTAAACTTTCCGCAAGAATACTGAATTTTGCCATAAAATCTCGAAAGAGAACAATACGGAAATGTGTGCAGCAGATGGCCAAGTCTCTACAATTCTCTACTTTAAGCAAAAACAGGTTACCGTATATTTGGGAAGAATAGCAGAAAGAAAAAAAAATCACAGAAAGATTTGGAGATGTTTTATTTTTTTTTAACGTGTCATGTAATTCTTGTTTAATAATTAAAATTTGTATTTCAAATTGCTAAAGTATGTTTTCTTTTCATATATGTATATACAGTAAGTATTGACAGTTTGGGAGTCTTTCTTAAAAAAACTCACAAAAGCCACCATCTTGCAACCAATAAGTAACTTTTACTTTTTCATCTGTAAAAAATGGCCAGATTGTGCCAAGATGGTTGCGTTAATTTGCAAGTATTGAATTCTCATTAATTTTATGTCAAATTTAAATTAATCAAACAACATAGATAAGACTTAACAGAGCTAATACTGTCCTTAAAAGTCTCGAGGCTTTTGAAATAGATTTTTGGTACGTCTTTAATTTCAGACAAAATCATCAAATAGTCCTTAATTTTAACCATCTAAGATATCTGTGTGTTTTTATGACTGCCATTTTAAATATGGATTACTGTATAAAGTCCAAGATCTGAACATCCAATATCTGAAATGATCTAAAATCCGGACCTCAAAGCCACCAACAACCCTCTCTTTTTTATCTTCTTCTGGTATGCTCAACGCATACACATCTGATTTCTGACCGCCCCCAAAAAAAAGAAAGAAAAATTATAAAACCATGTGGAGAGGCTCAATTCTTAATTTTGCTTTGACATTAAATAAAATACCTTGTTATTGAAGGAACGATCATTTTAGCATAAATTTGTGTGATCAATAATTTGGCTCCATAGCTGCGTATTTGCTTGGCATACATCTCAAACCGAAACATTTTGCATAAAAACATCATTGATATTACACCTACTAATATTTTATATCCCTGACACTAACCAGTACTTATTATATTTTGCTTTCATTACCGTATGTCAACACATGATGACAACTTGAGTAATGACTCATGCAGTGATGCCTAAATATTTTTTTTATATTAGTAATTAAATAACAAAGAGTATAGTAAATGTTTGACATTGCTTAATGGTTGGTGATGATTACAGATTTAAATTAAATGTGCTAAAAATGTTGATGAGGAAAGATTTAACAAAAATTTATTTCCAGATGTTAAAAATGAATTTTGTTAATGATACTCATAGGCCAAAAGGTTACATTTAGTGGTATTTGAATGAAGAGTAAACTAATTTATTATTCACATAAATTTAGAACCTATGCCAGAGCTCATGTGTCTACACCAGGAAGCAGATTTTAGGGAAGACAAACTTTTTGGAATTTAAAGAAGCACCGAGCAACAAAATTAAGGGGTGACAAAATTTTTAGAATTTAGGGGAAAACACTGGGACCCAAAATTTAGGGGTGGCAAAAGTTTAGAACTTAAGGAGGCACTTGGTAGCAGAATTTAGGACCCGTGGAGACTGCATCAACTGGTAAGATGCATCTCTCAGTAATTTATTTATTCAGGACTCAGATAAACTGCATGGGCAAAAAATAGGCATAAGTATAATAAGTAACTAAATTAGTACAATTCAAGCGTAACTGCTTCAGTGCGCAATAGAAGCAAGACAAAATTTAGCGGAAGAATTTGTCTTTCATCGCCAGTCTCATGATACATAGCCAATAATGTATAGTGGACATTATTAAGCTTAGCTAAAATTATACTTTACTGATTCCAAGGAATATCAGTTAATATAGCAGATTGCCCTGTTCCTTAACTTTCTAATTTGATCCAGTTTATTATTTTTTTGCAGGCTGTTATTATGAAAGCAATTTTATGAAAGTTTGAACTTTCAATTATGTCCAAAAGAGTTTCTAATTCTGGAGCTGCAACAGGATCAGCATATTCATCTCAAAATTATGCGAGAGTAGGCATTGCAAAGCCACATAAGAATGAATATATGACATAAGAAAAAAAAAAGGAGCATTTTGAATTTTTTTGTGGATTCCGACACCACACTCGCAATGAATAACAGAAAAATAATTCATTATGCTAAAAGTGACAATCATGACAAAGTGATGATTGAATGCGTCAGACAGCATAGCATCAGAATATGCCATTGATGGGTCCAATGCAAATGGCTTCAGCCAAAATATTTCATGAAGAAATGAACTTAAAAGCTGAATATTTAAGACTATTCAAGAGTTTTTTAAATATTTTAGCATAAAGTCTTCTGTGTAGAGAGAGCATTGCAAGATCACGAGAGGATGTGTATGCTTGCATAATTTATGGCCAGCTGCCAATAGTAAAGAAAGTGACAGAGAGGTTTTTGAAAAAAAAAAATTCAATCGACAAGTTAGTAGGAATTTTCGACACAGAAATTAAGGGACTTGAACAATGGAACTTTGTAACTGAATAAGAATTATGTCTGTCTACAGAATTAAAAAGAAAGTAATAGCACAAAAAATGAAGCAGCTTAAACAACTTACGTTGAAAAAATGCTTAATAAAGTAAAAAAATAAATATTAAACTTTTTGGGTAAATTTTGATACCCTTTAGATCATAATTGCTTCAATATTTCATAAATCATGATTTCATATTTTTAATTTTATAATTTCTACATGCCATCTTACTAGATTTAAACTGATGATCTAATATCCAGAAAAATCCCAAATCTGGAATTGCCAATGTCCCAATGAGTTCGG